CAGGAACATCCATCCCACTCAGTCTTCTGTCATCTCTGTGCACAACACATGCCCCTCGGTGGGTATTGTCATTGTAGTGTTGGTGATTGAAAGTCTCTTTGGCAGTAGTCAGCAAGAATTGCAGCTTTGGGGCACCCTGCTGCTGAGGTGTTTTTTCATCAGCGCTCACATTTCCACACCTCGCTGCTGGCACACCCACTCTCCTCTCATAACTTCTGCAGGAGCTTTCTCCTCAAGGTGTTATTGGGGGACCTAAGTATGTGCTATAATGTGCAGCAGAGGGAGTGAAACGTGACCAAAGCTGGCGAGTAGAGTTCTACCTGGGTCACAGTCGTAGGTGATCAGCCACATGAAAAGTAATACAAATGTATCCTCTTAGATACTAAGGCAGAGCACTCATGTAGGCCCAAGTAGTTTCCTATAGTCAGTCCATGTTTACCAATGCTACCTATTTTATTTTCGAAAACTGTGCACCAATAGTACAACCTACTGTGTTCAACACATTGATGGATATGGTTGTTTTGCCAGTGACTCAGTAGTTAATCCACTAGATTTACAAAAAATTGAAGATGTTGCCATGAGGGTGTCTGCCATTCAGCTACTAACCAGAAGTTATTGATATACTCTCTCAATAATCAGCAGAACAGTGTTTCAGTCGGAGTTTGATTAAAACTATTCATTGAAATATGAGGCTTCCAAAATTAACAATGAAAAAGAGTAAAGGTGTTTTTGGCCCAGACCTCTGAGCTTCTGAGAGACATTATTGATGTATAAAGAGAACTTGATACAGCTTTGGAGGTGGGGCCTCATTCATTCTCATAAATATTGGTTGGTATATGTGGAAATTCTGTGGAAATTCCAGCGATCTTCTGAACACATTGGTCCCATGAATTGAGCTATAAGTGCATTTTACAACATAATGACCTAATGATCTAAATAAGGGATATTCACACTGATGTACAGATGTCCCTTTCCCAATATTAGTCAATGGGCAAAAACTATCTTTGGGCCGAATCGCATCACTTATGGCATGACGTGACTGGCGATAAAGTTATAGTACCACCATTGGCCATTACAAAACATTTTTCTACAACAGTTCGCACACTTCCTGGGGGCTTGGTGGATATAGACGTAATGCTCCCTCCTTGTGGGAAAGACTGCGCCCACCTTCTTCCAAGGGGTCTAGCCAGGGAAACATGAACACTGCCTTGTTTACTATCAATATGGTGTTTCTTTTTCACCATGCATATCTATACGAACATTGTCTATTAAAGATAAATGTTTACAAGAGTTTATCTTTCTTTATAGATAGCTCCTTATTTTGCTTTCACATTTGACTACATACTTTTTTTTTTACCTTTATGATCTACTAAATGTTCTTCCAAAGAAGAATGCCCCAGAGCTCCCTAGAGCAGGAGTGTCAAACTCATTTTAGTTCAGGGGCCACATATAGCCACATTTGATCTCAAGTGGGCCAGACCATAAAATCATAGCATAATAACCTATACAATCAAAATGTTTCATCTGATCTAGTGTAAAAAATTACAAAATGTTAACATGTAATGAAGTATCTTTTTACAATTGCAATTATTTAACAATAATTTCCACATCTGTATAGTAATCCTGACCACCTGAACTGACACACCACCATACAAACTAGTGGGAACTATTAAGGAAGAAGGTTATGTTTTCCCCCTGCCTTGTGAATGTATACATTTTATACATACAAAATACATAACAGTTGTGAAAGTTGCAGTTAATGTCTTCTCTGTGATATTTACACTTTGCAAAGTCAGCCCGTATATTTGACACCCCTGCCCTAGAGGGTCTGGGTCCACCTGCCACAGTCTTCCAAAATCCTGTGGAAAAAGCTTGGTCACCAGATCCCAAATTAGGGGCCACTGGCTATATGCAGCTAATCCATCCCCTCCTCTTTATTTAATTTTTACGAAAGCGTTCATGGTGAGGTCACTGTCCAGTCAGATTGAGAGCCGTGTGAAAGTGAGGTACTGTCAGACCGTGGGGAAGAGATTTAGTCTCTGAGTGATCGCGCTACCATCATGGGGAGGTCGAGAATAGCTCAGGCTCTCTGTGAGGAAATGTCACCAGAATAGCAGCAGCAACAACTCAGGGGCCCCTCAGGCCCTACTCAACTCCTTCGGGAAAGCAGATGGCCCATGCCCAGAGCTATTTAAAGGCTTCATGAGGGCAACTGTCCCCCTCTGTCACCCAAAATGACTGGTGTTGACCGAATGGGAAGCACTGACCACACTGTTTGTTGTGACTTTTGCCCTCCAATCAGCAAAGTCAGTCCTTTGAATGTTAATCTGTTCAGTGGGTTGCTGTGGCTCTGGAGGTACAGTGGTTTGACCCCAGGCCCCTGCTGTCAACATGTTAAATTGTCTTTGGGCATTCAACTGAACCCCAAATTGCAAGGAAGAACGATACAATAATTAGAGTAATTTTGACCCAGCACGTGCACTCTGCTCTGCATCCGCCAATCGGCTTGCTACACCCCCAATACAAGTCGGACCCAGATACCCCAAAGCAAAACTCACCTGTTTGCTATCCTGGCTCCAAAATGGTGGAACAAGCTCCACATTGATATCAGGACTGCTGAAAGTCTAAACATGTTCCGTAGCAGACTGAAAACCCCCAGTTTCAACTGCACCTTGGCCATAAAACCTCACACACAAACAACTACTTAAAATTATTTGGCTTTTTTAAACCAAATGTACTGGTATCTTGTTGTTTTTAGTTTGTATCTTTATGGTATATTGGATCTTTTTTTTAAGATGCTTTAAATAAAAGCGTCTGTTAAATGTAATGTCAATTTATCGAGTACTGGTAATGCAGTGTTATGAATTTAAATCCAGTGGTACTATATCGTGAGGAACAGACGGGATTCTGTGAAGAGCATTTGAGGCAGTCAGATATCTGGCCTTAAACACTGTTATTTGGGTAAAGGTAAAATAAATACACCACCCACACATTAACCAATACACATGATAGCGAGTTAAAAAACTCTCGGTGTCAAGACTCCCTCGTTATGGTTTTAGTATTTAACAATCGTGTGTGTGTGTGTGTGTGTGTGTGTGTGTGTGTGTGTGTGTGTGTGTGTGTGTGTGTGTGTGTGTGTGTGTGTGTGTGTGTGTGTGTGTGTGTGTGTGTGTGTGTGTGTGTGTGTGTGTGTGTGTGTGTGTGTGTGTGTGATGTGTGTGTGTGTGTGTGTGTGTGTGTGTGTGTGTGTGTTGTGTGTTTGTGTGTGTGTGGTGTGTGTGTGTTGTGTGTGTGTGTGGTGTGTGTGTGTGTGTGTGTGTGGTGTGTGTGTGTGTGTGTGTGTGCTGTGTGTGTGTGTGTGTGTGTGTGTGTGTGTGTGTGTGTGTGTGTGTGTGTGTGTGTGTGTGTGTGTGTGTGTGTCGCTGGCTGAGAGGAGTGTGGAAATCCACATCTGTGGCGCTGCAGGGCGCCCCCCCCCCCCCTGTCCTCCCACTACCCTCCCTCTCTGGTTTTCAACCAGGTCTAACTGGTAGTTCCAATGCTTGTTTGCAAGCCATGAAGAGCCCCCCCCCCCCCCCCCTGCTGTCTCATCTATTTGTCTTCTGCGGACAAATTTGGAAAATATTGACATGTCATCTTGTTTGCTCCATTTCAGCTTGCATACAGCTGGTCAGTCTCTCAAAGTCCATGGAGAAAATAAATGTGGACTAGCATTGATGCAAGATATTAGTTACAGTTGTTCCTTTTGACCACCACAGTTTTACGATTTTAAGAAATGCTTTTTTATTCATCTCAAGAGCTTATGCCAAATATCGATGGGTATCCCAGTTGCTTTGTCCTTCCTGAATGACGTTATCCAGGCTGCTTGTTTGTTGTGTGTTTAGTAACACTTGTGTAGGCGGATTTTGACAGAGCACTAATTTGAAGTGGTAAGGGATGAAGGGTGTGTCTTTGTGGCTGTCACTTTAGATGATGTTGACATTGAGACAGCGAGTTTTGTGTAAACCCAGGTAGGATATAAAGGGATAATTTGAATGTTTTGAAGTGGGTTCGTATAAGGCATATCCATTGTCAGTGTATTAACTACAGTAGATGCCATAATACAGCTCTATTTAAAAGGGAACCATCTACTCTTTCACTAAATCCACTAAACTCCATTGAAAAATTAACAAACAATTTTACCGGAGTCGCTGGTCCCACCGCTACCTCGATTGATTAGTTAGTTTGTGTTCCCCGTCAGAAATATAGACTTTATAGCTGTATTACGGCAAAATAAACATATTTAATACGCTCAATATCATACACTTCAACTGATATTGAATTTGTTGGTAGGCTTTTTTGTAGGTGGCTAAAATCTGTTTAGCTACTGCCACCCTTCACAGCTTTGACGTGTTTTTAAAATGGAAATTGCTTAGCTTCTGTGCAGTAACTCCTGAACTCTCCCCCAAACTGGGAGTGTGCCAACCATGTTCTTCAGTAAGTTATACACTGACTGAGGATTAGTACTTCATGCAAGTACAATTTAAAGTATCCAGACCCTCGCATTTGTGTGTATCTCTCTTGTTGTCGCCTGTATGGATAGGATGATGAGACCGAGATAACCAGGAAGACATTCCATTTAGTCCCACACCACCCATCTCCCCACAAAAGCTGACAGATGGGCTATTGTACCATGCACACGTTGTCACCAGAATGCATGCTCTGTTGAATTTGTAGCATTACAGATGCCTTTGTTTTTGTACGCGGGGGCTTTTGTAAATGAGGGATGTGACAACAAAAGAATGTTTCCATCTTGATTTTTCCATCTGTAGTTTATGGTTCTCCTTTGTGCCATTGAATCATCGGGTAAAATAATTGTTTACTCATTTCATGTTAAACATTTTATCTTGGCTGGCATTTTCACATTGCCAACAAAGAATGGAAGATTAAATGTAATGTCTGTCAACAGAGTGGCTTTTATAAGTGATTTCCCTTTCTTTTTTTCTTTTTCTCTACAACAGGACGCATGGGCCTCAACTTCCATCATCCTGGAGCAGAGCACATCATGCCACTGAATAGTAAGTCACATTTTATTGTACTGCCTATCATCTTCTGTTCCATCTGGAATTCATCAGAATCCTCCCAGTTTTACGAATGAAAGTGTTCAAGTTGCTTTTGGTCCTTTGAAGGAATTAGGGAGTGGGAAATGTTTCTGCGGTGCGTTCCAATGAAACACATTTACCCCCTCACCACAGTGGGCCAGGTCAGTGGTGGTAGAGTGGTGCTGTGATGATGTACTTGTGTGGGCTAACTAGAAAGTAAGCATTGCAAGGAGCCATCAACATGTTTCATTAAGCAGGATAGTCTCTACAATCACCAGAATTAAAAAGCTAAAGTTGCTGCACATCATCACCGCTAAGCTAAAGGCGGCTAGCGTTCAGTGTTATTATTATTAGTACATTTTGTTTCTTGGTAGCAACCGCCGTTTTTATGACTCATAATGGCTTCGGACAATAACAAGTGCGGTATATACTGACGTATTTTATGTCCTGGACAAAACATGAAAATCTCTTAAACTTGTGTTACCTACATATCTTATTTCAGGCGTATAATCTAAGACAATTTGAACAAAATAATTGACTTCAAGACGAGGCAACTGGATGTTGTAAAATGCTAAATCATTTCCAGGTTTCAGGAATCATTCCTGCAACATTCAATTGGAGACTAGGGTTTTGAACTGGCCATTGTCAGCTCAATAACCAACATTTTGCATGAATGACTTCTGTGCCACATCGTCATCGTCTTGTGTGAATCATTGTCAAAAAGGTTGCAACAACCAGATTTAGCCATTGTTTTTTTGTGTGACAAAATGAACCCTGCTGGGCACACCTGCCTACCCTTTGCCGAGGTCTGGATTCCCTGACACCGTAAACCTAGGGCAGACCTCTCAGCAATGGGGCGAAGCACGGTCGACCTGTGAATAGCACTTCCAAAATACCCCAGCATGTAAGACTAGATCCCCCCCCCAACACAGCAGATGACCAGCAGTGACAGAGTCACAGAGTACTCAGGTCTTTACCCGATATGTTGCTACATGGATGCCACAAAGTTTTCCATCAACCTTCTAAATGCTCTTTATAGAGTGCTATAGGATTGAGTTCTAAAGCCCGAAAATTAGTAAGCATTTAACCTCCTCCGATTCTCACAACTTAAAGTTAACGCTTCTTTTTTTAATGTGTTTTTGGTCCGATGTCTGAAATAATGTCTGTGATTAACGCAAGCTTCAGACATTTTACCATTTTGTTTCGCATAAAATACGTCAGTAAATTCCACACCCTTAAATGTCCGAAGCTTCTTTGTGTCATTAAAACAGTCTATGGTTTTTTAATGCATTTTTGGTTAGATGCCTGAAAATTGGTCTTTGGTTAAGACAAGCTAAAGAGCTTTTCACATTTTGTTCTACAACATAACATATGTCTGTAAACACCCCACTGGTGATTGTCCGAAACTTCTGCACGTCATTTAAACTACAGTCAAGTGACCAAATGAGACTACTAAATGTCATCACGCAGAGCATTAGCCGCCTTTAGCATAGCGCTGTTGACATGAAGTCATGTGACCATGATGTAGTTTATTTATAGCTTAATGTTTGTTTATTACTTCTGCATTTATGCTTCAACGACTATTACAGTGCTGTTAATATGTGGAGATTATCCTGCTGAACAAAATGTGTAAGTATCATAAACGTGTGTTTGCCCCAGAGCTTATTTCTTTTCGATGGAGCACTAGTGATGCTAACTTCCGGGTATGCCTACAAAAGATACGTCATCACTGCACCACTACATTTATGTTTAGATTGGGTCTGGGTGTGATTTCTTAGGGTTTTAAACACCCATGTTTTGTCCATCTCCATTCATTAATGTAGGAGCTTTAATTTTTCCAGTCTTTTTGTTCAAACCTCAGCAAAATATCAGGGATGTCTGGACTGACTGGTGATCAAACCAAACCAGTGAAGCCCTAGTGTCCTCTTGCATGTTGAATCAGCCTACGGGGTGTGCAGTCGGATAAAGGCAGAGGATATCCAACATAAAAATAACTTTCTCCCTGAATCTTGATAACAATGGTGCTCCTCCTCATTGTGCTTTTCATCGTCTGCATCCCCTGAGAACCTGTCCCGGAGTGATTTCCACTGTTCTGTCATGGGATTGCTCTCAGGCAGATCTTCCAAATCTGTCAGAGCAGTTCCTCTCCGCTGTAGCCTGTGATGTGTGCAGACAGGGGATCTTTGGTTTCTCCTATAAAGTGTTTTACTCTGTTTCTCCTTCATTTGGTCCCATTAGCTTTGAGGCTTCACGCTGAGAGAACCCTTTAAGGGGCTCGAGTTTCTCCGGATGGTGTTAGCACTTGAAGTGAAGAAGAAAGAGTGTAGTATAGTAAGTGAAGGTCCTCCATTCAGATGTATTGGTGTTGTTCACTTGACAGCTTAGTAGAAGTGTCTGAAGCTTTGAAGCCAAGACCTCAAACTCATCGTGCCCAGAGGAATTACCCAAACATTTCCTCCCTCACCCAGACACCACACGGCTTATAGTTGGTGCTTATCAGTGGTTTAAAGTAACCAAGTACATTCACTCAAGTACTGTACTTAAGTACAATTAGGTACTGAGGTACTTTATTTGAGTATTTCCATGTTATGCTACTTTGTACTTCTACCCCAATACAAATCAGAGATACAAAGTGTACTTTGACTCCATTACATTGCTGTAGTACCTTGAGTTACTTTGCAGATACAGTATAGACTAATGATAAACAATATGATCAACACTTAAACAAGACTTTAGTTATAGATTAAACTCACATGACTCAGCAGAAAATAAAGTAATTAAAATGAGCTGCCACTTTACCAGGTAAGCATTATAATAATTATAATCAAAACACATAATATACAGTATAAGATTACAAACTCGGCCATTCTGCACAATGATTCATTTGACTTTTGGTACTTTAAGTATATTTTGATGCTAATACTTTTGTACTTTTACTTGAGAAACATTTTAAATGCAGGACTTTCACAGTATTCCTACACTTTGTTATGTCTTTACTTAAGTGCAATATCTGAGTACTCGTTCCACCTCTGGTCCTTATTCTTAACCCTCACTTTTCCCTTTCCTCCTTTCCCTCATTGGACTGTTTCCCACATAACATTTTCTTAATTTTGCCCTGGTTGCTAGGTGACTTTGTTTCTGGCAGACGCTGAGAGGGCAACAGAGAGGCTGGTTTAGTTGTTTTTTTTGGGATTGGAGAGCTAGATCTTTTTTAATGAAAACATAGCAAGGGAGAAGAGGCTCAGAGACAATATGTTCCCGAGAGAAGCCAGAGAGGCGAGTTACACAATGGGCCTCTCACAATGCAAAGGCCCAAATTGGTTTTTGAGGTGATGAGTCTGCTTTGTGACTGATGCGTTTAGAGGACCCAGAGGATCCCCTCCTGCTGTTTGTTTGAATGTGCCCTGTCTTAAGGCACATTTAGTCTCCAGTGTGGCTTGAATTAGTGGCACAGCAGATTCAAATTACACATGTTGTGAGATGATTTTAGAGAAACCCTCAAACACAATCCTGAAACAAGATTTGTGATGCCCAATATCTGTTTTTTATCATCATACGTGAAAAACACTTTGGAAAATAACTCTGAAGTCCACTTACTATTGTCTTCTTGAGCTTCAAGTGAGCATACAAGTCTTTTTTAGTGGATGGAGTTTGCTCAGTTGTCATCACATGACTTAAGAATAGAGTGTTTGGCACACGATAATTAACAGGTGATTGTAAATGGGGGAAGACGGTAACATGTAATGACCACAATGGGGGGGGAATCTAAAACATTCACTTAATACCTCTGGCTGAAGCTTTCAACTGCAGCTCCTGGTCTTCCTCGGTAAATGAAAATCGCTCATTTGACATCACATGACCTAGGTTTTTAGAAAGTCTGGCACACGATACTAGATGGTTGTGTATGTGGGAAAACAGAAACGAGCTATTGACCGCAATGGGAAAAAAACATCATAATTCAAAATCAGCTTACTAGCTTTTACAGAAGCTTTCAACTGCAGCTCTTGGTCTTCCTCAGTAGATGGAGATTGCTCATGGGGTTTGTGATTTAAGTAAGTTGTTTATTTTGGCAAGTGGACGCTCAGTTGTTATCTTTATTTCCTTGGATTTCATTTAATTCAGTGCATTGACACAAGCATTTCATCCCTTCAGCCTTACAGAGAGTGAGAGGTTAACGATCAATGTAGAGCACACATAATCAATCTCCAGACAATGACTTGGCATTTCTTCTTGATTTTTCTGTCAAATCTTTTCTCTCCCTCTTAAAGATGTTGCCATGACTACTCATGCTGTAACCGCACAAAACTGCACCAGTCATAAAATGTCAATAAATATAAATAAATTATAAAAAAAGATCCGTTCAGCCATGCCATCATCATATCCTGCTCTCCACTGCCCCCCCCCCCCCCTCTCTCTGCATGTTACCCTCCCCTCTTTAAAGCCCTGTGGCTCTCTTCTCTCCTGTGGGAAGTTTCCACTCACACCTGGCCTGCCGTACCCAATCTGAGAGCTACCTTTAATACTTCACCGAGGCCATGATAATGACTAACCTGCTTTACCTTGGGTCCTGCATGCACTCCTCTTTATGGCCTCATTTGTGAATATTCACAGCAGATTATCACGGATGTGAGCAATTACGGGTTCATTAAACCCAGATTAGGATCTCTGGCCATGGCTGTGTCGCATAATGCTGCTAAATATCCGCACCGTTTCCGTGGCAAAACCTCACCTATCGTGCCACACTCCCCCAGCATCTGCCGGCAACTGTTGCCAAGGCAGGTGCAGCAGGTTTACCGTGGGCGGGTGCCAGGCGGTGATAATCACCCCCCCCCCTCCCGAAGCTTAGGTGTAGCCATCTGTGGTTTCTCTGTTGCCGTAGAGATGTTCTCGGTTTTGGTTTACTTCCACAAAACCCATGTCTCTGTATCTTTTTTCCTCCCCCTGTTCCTGCCCCAACCCTGTGTCTTCTCCCTGTCTCTCCCCCCCCCCCCCCCCCCCATGTGCTGACAAGCAGCCCGGAGCTATGGCCGCAGAAGAGGTAACATTTTCTCGGGGGGGGTCCTGCTTGCCACGCCGTCTCCGAGGCTGAGGGGGGGGGGGGGGGGGTGGGGGTGTGTGTTATCGTGGTGTAACTATGTGCTTTTCATCTGTGCTGTGATTGAATGGAATCATGTTCATTTTGACACAGTTTTTCTTTTTTTTTTCATTTAATCAAGATGGGGCGAGGGTCACTGAAATCTGTCTGTGTAAATGAACTTGGTTTGCTTGACGGTGAGACGGAACACAATTCTGAATGACAATTTCCTTTTCTCTCTATTCTGAGTCAGTGTTTCGGCCGCAGTGTTTATTACAAACACAATAGGGCAAACAAGGGATGCAAATACATCCCATTTCACATAACAGAAGCTTACAATAAATGAAAAACACATGATCTGTTTTTGCTCCTTTCTCAACCAAATCAAACTTTTTAAATGTTAAAGCATGTTGAGTTGGGGTTGTTCTGAAATAAATCTGGAGGGCTTTAATGAACAATTACGCTGACTCAGAAGTGATTCATCGTCTGAATGGCAAAAGATGGGTGCTTCCAACGTGGCTCATCTCTGATCTGATTTGTGTATTTTGACTAATTCTGTCTTTCTTCAGCAAGGAGAGAAGCTGCCATGTGACTTTTAAGGTCACCGCAGTATTGGGTATAGGAGACAGAAGTTAGATTCATAGCTTTGTGATTGCTATCATTCAAATGTTATCCCTGCTAAAGAAAGAGAGACAACTGCATAGAACATGCATATTATGTTTGGACAAGCTACAACACCATCGAAAGATCGACTTAAATATTGACCATGAGACGATACAACTGCTGTGACACATGCGTCACACACCCAAAGCATGGCTCCACACTCTGATCATGGGGAAAACAGGCTGCTTAAAGTCACAATGATATACACTTAGCATGGGTATACATTTCCAAATAGGCTTAATAATGACTTGCTTTGACATTTGGCCGAATATAACATCATAGTGTTATAGTTTACTTTGGCAATCTTACATAATGTGACTTTCAATGGTGGAGTGGTGCTTTTCCAGTTAGCATTGAAAAAAAGAGTTTGGTTAAAACATAGGTATATATTTTGATTCCTTAATGTTTTTTTTTTTGTGAACTGTTAACAAAGAAAAAAGTAGATTCAAATGTAAGTATTTAAAAACACTACCAACTTTTGTTTTTATTAAAGAAGTTGTACAAAAAATAACTATGACATTTAGAATCTACACGGTTAATCCATTTCGCCTTTTTTCCTATTTGGTATGTGGTCAAACATTTCTTTTTGTGTATTTGTGCTATGATTCACGGACTGATCCTTCTAAAATATTGTATTCATTTGTTGAACTGGACACTGGTACCTAGATACCTGCAGTTTAATTAAAAACACACAAGTATATCCAGCAGCAGCTGCTCTACTGTCTGTATGTTTATTCAAAGTTGATCAAAATGAGATGAGAAATGATAACGTCATTTCACACTTCCGAGCAATGTGGATGGAAGTGAATTTGACATTGTAACTTGATTTCACCACAATAAACATGAACATATTATCACTTGGGACCATAATGTATCGTATCAGAATTATGAAGGTAATCTCTACTTCCAAACTGATTCTGCTATATAAATAGTTTGCAGTATTTCATTAATTCATCTGTAACCCCCTCTCTCCCTTTCTTTCCTTACCTCACACTCTTGTACCTCTCTTTCTTCCCCCTGTTATCCCCGTCTCTCTTCCTGGTGTCCTTCTCTTTTCCTCTCTTCCTAGGCCGTTCCTGTCTTTTTCCCTTTGAAGATGGTTTCCTGGACGACGGTCACGGTGACCCCTCTTTGACCCCGGGCCTGAACTCGCCGACCCGCTGCCAGAACGGAGAGAGGATGGAGCGCTACTCCAGGAAGGTCTTTGTCGGAGGCCTCCCCCCTGACATAGATGAAGGTAAACAGAGGATTGTTTTCCATGACTCATCCAGCGAACGCTCCTCAGCTAACTTCAGGCTGCTTTAGCTCCTGCCTGCTGTAGAGTTATACTAATAAGGTATAGTACATTTACACTACTCAAAGCACTCCTTGTTGAGGATATTCTTTCAAGATATTAGTCTAAATCCCTCTTCTTAAAGTCAATATTTTTTAGAATTTGTTTTTGGTTAGATTCCCAAAAAAGGGTCTGTGGTTAACACAAACGTAATAGATATTCAAGTTTTGTTTTACAACATAAGATACGTCAGTACAGTAAATACCCGTCTGGGGATTTTCTGAAGCTTTTTCCTTAGCCTTGCCTTGTCTTAAAAACAGTGGTCGCTGCAAGTGGCTAAATTTAGAATGGTAAACGTCATCACACCGAACATTAGCTTCCTTTAGCTTGGCGGTTGAGGTGAAGTCATGCGGCCATGATATCGTTTATAACTTAACATCTTCTACTACCTAATAGCCTCACTATATGAGAGGGGGTTTGCTGTACAATTTGATACGTCTAACATCCAAGTATCTTCATGTGCCAGAGAGCTTATTTCCTGCAATATTCAAAAATCAAATGTAAAAATCCCTTTTTAGTTCAGGGAGCCCTTGCAACTCCGGGGTTGGCCTACAATGTCACATCATCACTGCACCACTCAATTAAGCAATACAACTAATAAAATAAAGCCTTTCTATAAGTTGGCTGCCTTCAAGATTTTAGGAAATAAGCTTATTTATTTGCTAAGAAAATTGTCAATGCTTTTAAACCCTTTGTGAATTTGTAGGTTTTTAAAGTAATGCTTTTGCCGTTAGTCAATTTCTGGTTAATATGAAACGTCTCCTTTCACATGTGTCTACCAGTGGTGGTTCCAGACCTGGGATACTGGGGGGTGGGGGGGCATGCTGGGGCCAGTTACTTTATTGTAGGGTCAGAATTTGTGTCAGTAACTTAGTTAAATGTAATTAAATTACATTATTGAAAACAAATTTAAAAGAAAACACATGCCCGTTAACTTTGGCTCAAGTTACAGCACTATCACATATTGTATTATCATAGACCCTTCTTTCTGAGGGGGGCCACAGGGGGGTCCAAGCTCAGTGTTACAGGGGCACTGGCCCTTGGTGCCCCCCCCCCCCAGAACTGCCCATGGTGTCTACGCTGTTAAACGAGCACATGATGCACAATACGTGCCCTTAGCTGGCTGAAAGATTCATGAGTTTCCACGGCACGAGTCTGGATGTGCCCGGCCCGTGTTTCTGTTTAATGCAGCGCCTGGAACACAGCAGAAAATAGAAGCGGGCCTATCTCAGCAGAGTGTGTATCTGAGTGTGTTTCTCCATATAGTCTTTGAAATGCATATTACATGAGTATCTTATCATGTCATGAAAATAACATTCAAGTTTCCTCTTCCATTTCCTTCGTTTTACAGATGAGATCACCAACAGTTTCCGTCGCTATGGGCACCTGGTGGTGGACTGGCCCCACAAAGCGGAGAGCAAGTCCTACTTCCCACCTAAAGGTACGGACACATTCTCAGAGCATTATCTGTGTTTTCCCATCACACATCAAAGTCTACACCAATAAATATCTCCTCGGGTGCTTCTCCATTTTTAAGTTTTGTAAAGAATCGTGTTACGCAGGATTCGTGAACCAAGCTGGGCCACCATGGAGGTGTCTGTTTATCTGAGCGAACCCCTGTTGTCATCTCACAGAAACACACACATAGTAACCATTGACTCTGTAGCTGCGAAAGTCAAAGAAATAAACCAGAAAATTAACTCCAAATAAAACTGCCGCTGAGGCACCAGATAACTCATCTTTGCAGGGAAAAACCGAAGTCCAGGCAAGAATATCCTTTTTTAAATGTTATGCCAATAACAAAGAACAAAGAGTTGACATTCTTTCCTTCAGCCTTCACCCTGGTAGAAAAACATTTGCCAATACTACCAATATCATCTGTCTCCGATACATACAACACGAGGTGCCCAAATCGTGTCTATCGTTTTTCCAACAGAGTTTATATTTAACCACGCCTTCTTCTGCATTAGCGTAGCTCTGCGTGATTGCATCATGGAAGTATAAAGAGAACACTAAAACACTAAATAAAAGGTACATTTAAACTAACGGCAAGAACATCTATTTTGATCTAATAAATAATATAAATCAAAATATAGCTCCTACCGACTCCTAACTGGCTTTCAGAATAGAAAATAAATACTTTAAATAGATTTAAATAGTCCTTCTTCCTCACGGTCATCTTGTGTCCTTTCCGTAGAATGTATAAAAAGTGGACATCGTCCCCAAGTCATCCAACATCATGCTGTATTGAAGAAGACTTGAAACTAGCATTTAAGATCGTTCATTAATTGGACAATTGTTTACTGAGGTAATAAATCAGGTGAGACGTAGGATACTTTCTTGGGTTGTTATGGTAGAGTATTTCAAGTTTACATTTTCTTAACCCAAAATATTTTAAGATTTCTGTAAGAAAAGAATTCTCGTATTGCTTCCTCTATTACGTCTTCTTCTGCCTAGAGTTCTGACCCAAGAAGTGTTTTGGTAACGTTTTCTCAGGTGATCAGAGCTCCTCTACATCCCTCCCTCTGGCCCAGGAGCTGCTGTGTGTCATATTAGGAAAGCTATTAAAGAAGCTCTGAAAATATCTGACATTCCATAGGCAGATGGTAATACGCTGCATCTGGAGAACCTGCCGCCAGTTTCTCCCCCACTCTCATTTTTCAACATCCCTTTTTTATTTATTTTTTTAGCTCGGGAGGATTATTTTGAATAGGCTTGACTCTACTAATATCCTAAGCCAGAGGGGGAAAAAAAATGCAGCATCCTTTTAGGGGAATGAATGAGCTTACGGCAGCTGGAGAACACCGTCATGTAAGGGGGGGGGGGGGGGGGGGGGATGAAAGGCACTGGTGATCTGGGTAGACTTCATCTCGCCATAACTCCAATAGGAACTGATGAAATGTCCTGTTTATATCACCATCCATATTAACTGGCAGTGGAGGGGTGTGTGTGTGTGTGTGTGTGTGTGTGTGTGTGTGTGGGTGTGTGTGTGTGTGTGTGTGTGTGTGTGTGTGGTTGTGTTGTGTGTGTGTGTGTGTGTGTGTGTGTGTGTTGTGTGTGTGTGTTTGTGTGTGTGTGTGTGTGTGTTTGTGTGTGTGTGTGTGGTGTGTGTGTGGTGTGTGTGTGTGTGTGTGTGTTGTGTGTGTGTGTGGGTGTGTGTGTGTGTGTGTGTGTGTGTGTGTTGTGTGTGTGTGTGTGTGTGTGTGTGTGTGTGTGTGTGTGTGTGTGTGTGTGTGTGTGTGTGTGTGTGTCCAAACTCGACCGAATGGAAGATGGTTGTCACTTTCCGTCCTGCTTCCCATTAGACTGCCAGCGCTGTGTGTCTGCACAGTTATGAAACTGTTTTGGTTCAGGGATGACTCATATTGTGGCTCAGGCCGACTTTAGGGGACTCTGGTACTTGGAGAGAGCTGTAGCCTTAAAGAGGAAGTAGAATAATTCCCTTTGCTCCATGCTCTTATGTTTTCACAACTCGTTATTGTCGATTAGAGGAACTTTTTCCCTATTTTAGATTTACGAATACTTTATATATAATATAAATGTACTGCTTTCTCTTGCATTTTTAATCTGCAACTGCATTTGTGTCTTGGAAGCTAGCGTTGCAAAATGGTCAACTGATATGGGCTATTCCCAGGAAGAGTGCCGGAAGTTAAAGCAAATATTGTATAGTGGCCAAACGATTGTACTGCAACTTCTGTGTCATTCCGTGATGTCATTCGGCCAAATAGACTTTATATTGACTTACTTTGGGAAAAGGTCCTCTGTAAATCAGCGGAATAAGAAACCCAGTACAAACACTTTGATTGTCCTTTTTTAAATGAAGTCTAAAAGTTGTAAATGGTTTGATATTGATATTTAGGGAGCAGCGTGAGCTATGGCCTATTAATGATACACATTGTTTGTTAATGGCACATTGTTAAAATTGCTGAACTCCAATGAACATTTATTCACAAGCAAGAAGGTCAAGAAAATGAAACTGTGTGTAAAATAAAAACTTTTGAATGCTAAATTAAGTTTTAGTGTGCTTTAAACTTAAAGTAGAGGAGATAGTAGTTCTAGCATTCATCAGGTATCCAGAAACCTGACTCCAAATACATGCTAACGTTCCTCTGCTGAATGTGTAAAGAACCCGCTGCTTGCTAACACGTTCTCCATGTAGTCTTTATGAGAAGATGATGTCAATGTCGTGTTCACAGCTTGTTCCGATGCCCCCTAGTGGTAATAAAATCAAAACAACTTTGAAAATGAAGTGATGATGCTTTTTTAAGTCGTCCTTTAAGCTGTGGTCACTATGTTGCTGTCGCTCACCGCTGTTGTTGCTAAACGTAGGGAGCTATTTCGGACTGAGATCGGGGATAGAGGGAGGAGGTGAAGCTTTCAGTAGCGCTGGGAGCTATAAACAGCTACAAATGCTAATGCTCACGTCATGCTGCAATAACAGTGTGTGTTTAATTCAAAGGTTACAGCTGTAGTTTTCCTCTGACTGCCACCGGTCATTATCAGCTATGTTATTGTGTTGTGAGGTGGAGAAATGTAGACGGTACAGAGAAGTGCTGCACAGGGAACAACCTTACTGCTTCACTCAGGCCGTGATTGATCTGCTTACCCTCGTGCTGGGATTAGATCCAGAGAGTGACTTGATTCCCCCTCCTCTACTCTATCACTCTCCAATTGCTCCATTGCCTCCGGGGCCGCTTGTTTTTCAGAGAGCAGATGTTTGCGTCTCCCTCCATCCATCCTGCCACCGTCTTCTTCTTCTGCTGTCAGCAGGCCGTCTGTTTACACTTTGTGGCAGAGTTACAGCCCCCTGCAGAGTTCTTGCTCTCTCTCGATCCTCATGGGAGAGATTATTCTTTCAGTTTTTGTAGTTCTTCGATCTTATTTTACTCTGTGATGGAAAATGTAATACACAACCATTCTGCTCACTAGGACAACGCATGTCTCTGTATCCTTGCCTTTGTGAAATAAACAAAGACATAAAGATACATCTGAGTATGGAAAGATAAGCCTGGATTGAAATGTCACTTTTAAAACCAGTGAGATTTATACTCATATTTCAGTAAAGTCTGCAGAAGTTTCCTTTGATGAGGAAATGGAGAGAATGGGATGGCAATGTGGGACTAACACACACCTGTGGTATGTGGATCAGCTAGCACCAGGTACCAATGCAGTACTTTCACTCAGCAGGGTATTATTAGACTGTTGGGACATCGCAATTCATAACTCAAAATAATTGTCAGTGTCAGGATAAGGATAGCACGGAAAGGAATCATTTCACATTTTAGGAAAGATGACTTCTGAGTGGTGCAGTGGGGTCTTTTTGATGTAGGCCGACCTGAAAGTCAGCATAGCAAGGACTCTCTTTGGCAAACATTCTTACAAGCTTTGTTCAGCAGGACCATCTCGACATATTAACACCACTTTAATATGTAATGCAATGGCATAAGCAGAAAGTTAGTGTTTGGTTATAAAGGAACTACATCACGGTCACATGACTTCACGGAACACTCAGAGCTCCGTCTAATACTTGTGTAGGGACCAAACTAAATATGATTATAAAGGCATGTTTACAAAATGACTATTTGGCATGACCAATAAAGTCACAGCTACAACGGGAGCTTAGCCTGGCCCTGATTTATCCAAAGTCCATTTGGATAACAAGCATTTTAAACGCTTTTTGCTTGGCTTCATGCGGACAGACCTGACAAAGCATTCATTCATGTTTTAACTTGACTTTTTCACTTAATGAGACAAACGTTTTCAGATTGCCATTGAGGCACCGTTCCTCTCCTCATATCTCGAACTATTGGCCTCCAACCAGGAAAGACTCTGTCCTGCATGAGGTCATTGGTCCGTCTTCACAACCCACTGGCACTCTGCCTATCGTGTGTCTTTTAACGGTGCTCTGTAGGGTGGAAAATGCTGCCGCTGTACGTATTCCCTCCCTGGACAGTGCTGGGAGCGGAGCAGCAAAGCCCTATAAATCTCAGGCACGAGCCACTGCAGATCTGCGCTCCTCCTCCCGCGGTGTGTGAGCCTCTGCACTGCGCTAGGGCTGATGGAAAAAGACAGATCCATTCAGACTAAATATCAGACCGTCGTAGTGGAATCTGGGACAGTCTAGTACTTCTGCTATGTACACAGTGTCCTGATGGAACAGGTGATATATTAAATCCAAGAAGCTCATCGCATTTTCTGAAACAATATGATACAATACAAGCCAGTTATATGACAATTCAGAATCAGAATTCCTTAGTGTTGTCCCACAGAGGGGAAATGTACATTGTTACAACAAAAGTAAGATACTGTAGAGACAAAAAAGAAAACACTCTTAGATGAAGGGCATGCACAATCATCATAGACTGTATATATACACATAATCATTTTAACTGGGTACAAACAGCAAGTGTTGTTGCACACAGTGGTCTCATAGTCTTTACAAGGGGAAGCACTTCATATTGATAATACATTCTTATTTTCCAAATGTGAACAGTAAAGCAGCCTGTTTCATGAATAAGGCATACAAGGTGAGGCCTTCTTTTATTTATGTTTTATATATCACTAGATTTGTTCAAATAATAACCCAATGAATATTAAAGAAGCTTGCTGGGAGTTAAGTTACCTCACTTGACAGCAAAATGTGCGGATACACCATTTGTATTTGATTGTGAAATTGAGTGTAGAACATAGTAAAGGTTGTCTTGCATCAGTTTGTTACCTTGCTAACAGGGTGCATTAAAGTAGCAGTTAGCCTCCGTGCCTTTTCTAACTCTGTGTGTATGGCACTCGTTCATGCTGCCTCTCTCCCTACCTTTTCTCACTTTCCCCCCCTCTCTTTCCCCCCCTCTCTCCCCCCTCCCTCTCCTGCCCTGGGTCGTGGAACACGTTGTTCCCCTCCTTCAGACTCTGAGCGCTGCTGGCTAGCTCTGCCTTTTCATGCTGTTTTTTTAAGACTGCAGTTGTTTTTTCTCTGAGGGGGGATGTCAGTGCTAAACCACATGCTTTCTGCCAATGACAAACCCTCTTTATGTAACCCGGCAACACGGAGACATGGTCTTATGCCGGGCAATGACGCGGCACGTGGAGAAACATGACGATGCATAAAACCCTCCTTATGTCGAGTCACATCTTTTGCAACTTTCCCTGAGGGGTTCTGTGTTGAACGATTACTAAAAGATTAAGCGGGTCACTTAAAGGAGCTGATTGCAATTAGCTTCACATTGTGTGTGGGGTTCTTTTTGCCCCCTCTGGTACAGCTTGTTATTAGAGGTAACAGTATATCCCCACTGAGGTTATTAGCCTTACGTGACTCTACACGGCTCTTATAACAACCTGCTAGAGACTTTTAATGAAGGAGCCTCTGTGGTTACTCTACATACAACAGGATGCAAACAATGACTGAACAGTGGGAATGCTAGTGTGTTAGCGTAGATCTCAGTTTGACATTGGGCCAAAAGGGACACATGGATTATTATAGCGTCTATGCTGCCATCACTTAACGATCAATGCTTATCGAGATCAAAAACCTACTATTCCATAATCACTATCATTGTAGCCATTATAATAAGACTTTATTGGCACTTGAATTGACCTTGGGGGCCATGGCAAGCACTTATCAGCCTATTACGTGAGGTAATCGTGGTGATCTCTTCTTTTTTTTTTTCCTATTTTTGTTTGCACTACATAAAATCAATATTTTTGCAGTATTGAAAGTGTGGCACATTGTTAAATGAAAAAGGTTGTGGTACAGAAAAGGGTTTTTAATTTATGTTTCCAATATTATCTTATATCAGCACCCCAACTTTTATCAACTATAAATGTCCAGTGATTCCCCTACCGCTGCGCCCCGCCAACGGAGCCCCGCGCCCCCCCTTGAAATTCAAGGTGTTTTTTTCTTTTCTTTTCTTTTTTCTTTTATAAATATATATATATATATATATATATATATATATATATATATATATATATATATATATATAGTGTTTTTGACCCTAAGAAACACTGATGCAATAATAAATAACAATAATCCACAACTCCTCTCTCTGCTCCAGAGGGTTTAAAAAATATATATACCCCCCCCCCCCCCCCCCCCCCCCCCCCCCCCACATATAAAGCTCAGTTGGTAGAGCTGATGGCCCATGTACTGACCCGGGTTTGAGTCCGGCCCGGGACCATGTACTCCCCTCCGACTCCCCCCATTCATAGCTGTCACTCAAATAAAGGCACTGGTTGCCAAAAAATCTTTAAAAGAAGAACAAACCTGAAAAACTGATAACTGGATTTATTCAGATTTAGTTTCTGTGTTTGGTGGATGTGCGCCATTTGCAATGCTCTTTATGCACATGCATGGTTTTATTCCAGTACAAATCATCAGATGTGACATTTCTTGTACCTCATGGGTTTTCGATTGATTTACTGTAGACACAAATGTGAGAAAGACACTCGTCACTGACAGAGGACATGTCACATGCATCAGGAGACACGTCACACAGACAGAAGCCGCTTTCAGAGCAGCAACTGTTAAGGACACATACGGCTGCTTACGCACCTGTTTTCGTTTCATTTCCCCTTTGATGCCTTTTTCTTTTTCCCCTCCCTATTTCCAGCAGCTCACTCTCACTCGTGCACATACAGTACAGCTGACTGGCTCTGCCGACTCAGCTCTTTTTCCACTCTCCTCTGCAGCAGCTCCACTCAGGAATGCTCTAGTGAACCATGACAGATGCACATTCCTCTTTGCCCATTTCCACTTGTGTGTGTGTGTGTGTGTGTGTGTGTGTGTGTGGTGTGTGTGTGTGTGGTGTGTGTGTGTGTGTGTGTGTGTGTGTGGTGTTTGTGTGTGTGTGTGTGTGTGGTGTGTGTGTGTGTGTGTGTAGTGTGTGTGTGTGTGTGTGTGTGTGTGTGTGTGTGTGTGTGTGTGTGTTGTGTGTGGTGTGTGTGTGTGTGTGTGTGTGTGTGTGTGTGTGTGTGTGTGTGTGTGTGTGGTGTGTGTGTGTGTGTGTGTGTGTTGTGTGTGTGTGTGTGTGTGTGTGTGTGTGTGTGTGTGTGTGTGTGTGTGTGTGTGTGTGTGTAGTGTGTGTGTGTGTGTGTGTGTGTGTGTGTGTGTGTGTGTGGCTGGCTCCGTGTCTCCCGTCGCCTGTCCGCCCCCCGTCCTATAACCCAATACATTAAATAATACAATAAAATAAATAAAGACCAATAGCAGGGGGATATTGCTTATTTAAAGCTATGTTTAAAACGTTTCCAGCTGTCGTTTAGAATTGTCCATTGAGTTTATCTTTAATGTTTCTGGAGTGTTCCACAGCTGCTTCCCCAATTTTATTTTTGGGCACTTTTGGAATATTGAAATAGGCTTATTAAAGCAGGCGTCTCCAGAGACACTTCAAACTGAGAGATGGGAAGTTGGACACAGAGATGATACTGCAGAATGAAATGAATATCTGCCATGTCTCAATGTCCAATTCAGAAAATAGACATTGCACAAATGATGATATTCCAAGTTCCATATATGAGTGCAATTTGCCCGTTTCTATTGCCTCTCATCGCAATCATTCATGTTGCTGTGTTAATCTGCTTGAGATGGAGAGGGAAGAATCTGAAGAATGTTTTAGGCAAAAAAAACGTATTTTCTATTCATTTAATGAGCTGTTTTTGCTTGAAGACTTATTTAAATAGAAAGGGGTTGAGTATGCCCAAACTGCACATACTGTATATCACCTAATTGAAATATGTGCACAATACCACAGGAGCACCGATATGCTATTTTTTCACCTTTTTGTGAAAAGGTTTATTCTTGTCTTCTTGGTGTAGGCTTAGCAGCTGCAAAAGCCTCTTTAGTAAATGTGCCCCAGTAGAGGATTCTGGATGTGTGTGTGTGATCTTGTACACTTGTGCATATCTTGCTCCTCTCAGAAGGCAGCTCATATTCCCCTGACTCATGGGGGCCACAGGTGGTGAGGGGCTCCTGCTAACATAACCAGAGCAACACCATCATAATTCACCAGCCTTCGTCACCTCTCCTCCTTTGGCCAAGAATTGCATTATTAGGATTTGGCTGTCAAAAAGCGACTCTCGGCTCTTGTTTCCGTCTCCTTTCTCGGTATAAATCGGATCTCTATTGCCTGCCGCCCCCCGTAGCGTCGTGTGATGGATGTCCCCCTATTGAGTTTTTTTTTTTGTCCCTCCTGAAACGGCTTAATAGCTCCGACCTTGGATGAGGTCTCTGCTCTCGATGCTAAATAATTCAACAGTACAGAGTGAGTGTGAGGCAGAAAGCAATTCAAAGACATCACCAAAGTCTCTATACCTGAAGATGTGCAGTGTGTCAGGAAGGTCCATTTTGCACGGGTCTTTCAGAAGCAGAGCCCTCTGAGGCGTTTAAATCGGAAGCAGGCTGCAGGTCTTATGGAGGCAGGCGAGGACAGAACATGAGAGACACATTTGTTTGAATCTATTCATATTACAAGGAAAGAAGTATTGGGCTTAATGATGGAATGTGACAATGAAGATACTGTTGTAATGCTCCCCTGTTTATGAAGTGTTGCCATAGCACAGTGTTTAAGCACCATGCTCACAAGGGTAGGATTATTAAATGCAAGTTTTTGGTTTGAGAGTATCTTTCATTTGTATTTACCACTTGGACACAAAAGTTACTTGCAGTTGTGCCTAAGTTAGAAATAAATAGCTTTTCTGTTCTTAAAATATAACAATAGCACATCACTGCAATGTAGCTACATACTGTCGGCTCGGTCTAATTAATGATACATGTATAAACCTTCATGTAGCATCTCAAGCTTGCATAAAATGTATAATGTTGAAAAGTAAGCTTGCCATTAACCCACCATGCGCTCTCACTGACGATATTTAGCACAAATACACAACTTAGCAACTAGCCACGGGACACGCACGAGACACTTGTCATTGAACCGGTGACGCTACATTAACAATGTGATATAAATCTCATATCTGCATTATGGTTAGTGTGTGACCTTTCCACGTTCATTATACATCTGTGTCACTACTTTTATAGATGTTTTTTTCACCACTTTTGCTCGCCTGAAAATACAGGAAGACAAGCAGATCGCTGCAACGTAGCTTGAGCCAGATCTATTGAATGATGCATCTGTATGAACATTCATGTACATTCTTAGACCATTAATAAGCCCAACGTTACGATAGATCCCACACATATCCTTATATTTGTATTTATTTGCCCTTTTCTCCAGGCTATGCCTTCCTGCTCTTCCAGGAAGAGACTTCTGTCCAGGCCTTGATCGACGCCTGCATCGAGGAGGACGGCAAGCTGTACCTGTGTGTGTCCAGTCCCACCATCAAAGACAAACCGGTAAGCGCCGGACATTCAAGGAGCAGTAGATTGTTCAGATAGTGTTAACATTATTATTCATATTTTCCAATCTGTCCTTAATGTCAATCGTTTTTTGGACACACTTTTGCATAATGAATTGGAATCAAATCATTCTTAATTTCATAATCGTTCACTAAAAAAGGAATAAAGTTGATAACTATATTGCAGGAATGAGTCAGAAATGAGTTAGAATTGAACTACTTCCGGTTCCCACCTCTCAAAACAAATGTTTTTTTAAAGTGTTTTTGGTTAAATGCTTGAAAAGGATTTGTGGTTAACCCAAGCTGAAGATGTTCACGTTTTGTTCTACGACATAAGATACATCAGTAAATACCTCATTTGTGAATGTCTGGAGCTTCTATTTTTCTTTAAAAAAATGGTTGCTAACAAGTGGCTAAATAAGACCACTAAACGTCATCACAGCAAACATTTACCGCCTTTAGCTTATCGGTGGTGATGTGCAGCGATGCGACCGTGATGTATTCTATTTATAGCCTAATTACTTCCGGCAATTTCATTTATGCTTTAAAAATCACAAAGTGGCGTTGATATGTGGAGGTGTGGAAAAAACATGTACGTTTCAAAATCATATGTTTGCCAAATCCAATGAAAAAATCCAATAGCTTTTTGTAGAGGAACTCGTTCATGTCAGCCTACAAATATGCGTTATCATTGCACCACTAAGAAATAAAAAATACTACAAAAGTATAACACACTTTGCCTTTCAATGACCACATTTCTTCCTGCTTGCAGGTCCAGATCCGTCCCTGGAACCTGAGCGACAGCGACTTTGTCATGGACGGCTCCCAGCCTCTGGACCCCCGCAAAACCATCTTTGTGGGGGGGGTGCCGCGGCCCCTTCGTGCCGGTAACTACCCAATATCAATGCAGTATATTTTTCTTGCGATCCCCCAAAAGCTGCTTTCATAACATTGGCTGGCACGGGCCACAGAGGCTGTAATGAAAAGTTCTCCCTGTGAGAAAGCAATCCTCTACTTGGGTTTCCAGGAAGCGGGCCAAGCGTCATGTAAAGAATTCATGGTGTAACGGGAGGCTCAGTCTTTCTGTTCTTGGGATAAACATCGCTGCAATGTGACCCCGACTAATTATACCAGCAGTTTGAGACCGATCTGATGAGTAGTGCAGGAGGGTAGACTTTGACATCACTTAATAACAATCACAAACCTTTGACTTTAAGAGGGGCTGAATGCTTTCAACGTGTGGTCAAAAGGACTCGCAGGAACTCCTGGCTGCAGCTTTAATCATCTTCTCCTCCCTTCTTCCCTGCAGTGGAGCTGGCTATGATCATGGACCGGCTGTACGGAGGTGTTTGCTACGCTGGCATCGACACCGACCCGGAGCTCAAATATCCAAAGGGCGCGGGGCGCGTGGCCTTCTCCAATCAGCAGAGCTACATCGCCGCCATCAGCGCTCGCTTCGTTCAGCTGCAGCACAATGACATCGACAAAAGGGTGAGCGAGTTCATGCGCTTCACTCATTCACGGCATCCTTCCTCTGAGGGGAAGCAGCGTCTCCACCACAGCTGAGGTTTTCTCGCAGTCATTCCTAAGGCATGCTTCAGAACTGAGCCCTCTCCCATGTATCCCAGCTTTCATTATAGCTGGCTTTTCTGCCTCCGCACAGCCCTACAATAACGGGAGGCCAGGCCCTGGCTGTACAATCACTAAGGCCTTTGGCTGCCGGAGTCCGACAGATGTTTCGAGTTGCAGACACATAGGGTTGGGTTAATTATAGTAGTTCCCTATACATGTATATCCACTCGGGCTGTGCTGCAGCCTGGTTATTTTAGGCACACAGCGGGAGAGATCGTGACCAACAGAGACTGGTTGTCAGCCAGGAAGCCGAGCCTCTGCAGGGCGGAGCGGTCCTCCCTAACTCAGCTATCACCATCCATCTTCAGTGGGAGACTAAGGGACCAGTGTTATGACTGGAAGTCTGTAGGAAACAGGGTTTGAACAGGTTTCAAACCCTGGTTTTTTCTTAAATAGTTTTTATTGTTAAAAAACGAAAGTAGGTACATTGCCTGGTTTACAATTGGTCATGTTTTCTCCCTCTAACCCAGCCCAACCCCTGAACAACAATGATGTGCAGTACAGAAAATAAAATAAAACAGTAAAAAAGGGCAACTGCATTATTTATTAAATCAACAAGAAGTCCAATGCTGCTTGGATGCGGAGCTGTAAGCATATACAGAGCAGGCAAGGCAATTGTTTTGGGCCCTGTGAGGTGGGAGGGCCTTGGGAGAGAGCTGGCCCCCCATAAATAGGCTGAATGGGTAACGGGCTATAGTGACCTATTCAGATTGCCAGTTAAACAAAATATCCCCTCAAAAACGCATACCTGTCTTCGTCATGGTTATACCAAAATGACAAAGCTTATTCTACATACACTTTAAAAAGGTAATTTCCTTGCCACATATGTCATCTTAAAAAGACAATGATAGTAAGTGCTGGTATATATGTTGATATTGTCGGGTGTCAAGTCTCTATTTGATCATTCGACAAGACAAGACGATAGTGTTGGCGTTTACATTACATTTGACCTGTTTAACACAAATGACTCATCTCGCTATCTAACATAAGTCACCCCTTTCCCTTCGCCCTTCCAACCAGTTTTATGAAAATTGACAGACAAGTAGACAAAAAGATTGACAGACCTATAATTATGCCAACAATAGGGTTAGCAAGTCGATGGAGGAGAAACAAAAATGGAAAAAAATAATAAAGTGGATTAAAGTTAAATACAAAATATGTCATTTACAATCCCATTAATTGTAATGGCTCTCGATGATAGGACATAGAAACCCATTACCCCTGGTCAGCTCTGTGGACACTGAGTTGAAATTGGTATTTAACAGCAGCATCTTTGTTTCTGCCTGGCTGTCTTCTTCTTTGTCTGGAGGAAGCTTATTGCTCACAACAGTCCAGTTGTTAGCTCAGAGGGATGGTCTGCTACTGTTGAAGGATTCAATAGCCTTTCATTTTGTGGCCACGCTATAACAAGGTTAGCATCCACCCCTGCCTGTTCATGCTCTGAGGCGTCTCCATGGCGACTGAGCTCCCATTTTTTGTGTCTCCCGTCTCAGTGGTCAAAGTCATTTTACTGAATAATACCTGCCTCAGTAGAAAGAAAGGAACAGGGTTTGCAATTGGATCAACCTAGCTGTTATTACCCCACGTGTACAGGCTATTTGTGTCTGTTCAACAGCTAATAGAATGACGCAGTAATGTATCGTTGTAGGCCATTGTTTTTCCATTGGCCATAAAATAAAATCTGTGTCAAACACACGGTCATCATACTTGCCCGTTTCGTTCAGCAGGTTAAACTCCACACATTTTTGAGGCAGAAAAAAGCTAACATTAGGCTATAAACGAACTACATCACTGTCGCATGGCTGTGTATCAACAACTCTTAGCTAAAGGCGGCTAATGTTTTGCTGTGATGACGTTTAGTTGTCTCATTTAGTCACTTGTTGGCTTTATTATAAGACATACAATCTATGGACATTCTCGCAAAAGACACACGGTCATCACACTTTCGCATTTTGTCAGCAGTATAATCTCCACATTAACAAGACTTTTAGAAAAGTGCAATTGCAATCCCCAGTAGCAAACCGCTAACGTAATGCTTTAAACAAACTACATGACCATCGTATGACTTCACGCTAACACCGCTAAGCTAAAAGTGGCTAATGTTTGGCACAATGGTGTTTAGTAGTCTTCATTTACGTTTTTGATGTAGTAGAAAAAAACTTGAGCTTGTATTAAACACAGACAGGCATGTAACCGAAAAAAAAAAAAAAAAAAAACGTGACGAGGGAACCCGGAAATGCTAAAATGCTGAGTCCTTTCCGGGTTAAGGACTCATACCTCACACCACTTTCTGGTATAACGAATTTGTATCTTCTAAATAATCCACATTTAAAAAAAGTAGTAATCCAGAGGGCATATGGGAATCCACATTTTCCTAACAGGATGACTAACTTTGCTGGACTTCACATCTGTGTATGAGATTAAACTAAGCACCACCTCTCGTCCTCCTTCTTTCCAGGTGGAGGTGAAGCCGTACGTCTTGGACGACCAGATGTGTGATGAGTGCCAGGGGGCTCGCTGTGGGGGGAAGTTCGCCCCCTTCTTCTGTGCCAACGTCACCTGCCTGCAGTACTACTGCGAGTACTGCTGGGCCAGCATCCACTCACGAGCCGGACGAGAGTTTCACAAGCCACTGGTGAAGGAGGGAGGCGACCGCCCCCGACACGTGTCCTTCCGCTGGAGCTGAGGGGGGGTATACCAGTCAGCCCTGCCCCGGTGAACCACACTCAACCCCGATAGGCAGCGCTGCAACACCCCCCACACACACACACACACACACACACACACACACACACACACACACACACACACACACACAGCCCCACACACACACAGCCCCACACACACAGCCCCCCCACTCCCCACAAACATGAAAAAAGTAAACGGATACGTCTAACCCATGGGACTGTCTTCATACCACACGGATTCGAACTCATTGTCTACCCCTCCGATGAAGCATTGTCGGGGTGTGAAATGCGAAAGTCTATCAATTTAGAATTGCACTTGCACAAAATCTCACTAAACACACACACACACACACACACACACACACACACATACACACACACACACACACACACACACACACACACACACACACACACACACACACACACACACACACACACACACACACACACACACACACACACACAGCCCCACACACACACAGGATGGTATGTTAGATACTTGGCTACTTTCAGTTGCCCGCTGTTTGGAGCAGTTGGTGTGGTACGTCCTCCTCACCGAGACGTGAGGTAGACCTTACAAATATTTAAAAAAGTATATATTTTTTGTTTTGTACCTATCTATACATATATAGATAATTTAAATTGTATGTAAAAGGAGCATGCACTTATTTTGAAAAGCTGTAGTTATATTGCCCCTACTTAAAAAAAAATTACCAAAGGCAAATGAAATGAATGCTTACAGAAAAGCTGAAAAGGTGGCATAAGATGTAGCAAAGCAGCTATCCAGTAGTGTGGGCCCGTATCGCCCAGAGTAAAAGTAACACGGCTATATTCGCAATCAATTTTGACTCTGAGAATATTAATACCTCATATGCGCAATCAGATTAGTTTGCTTTTGATTTCTAGGTCTTTATTTTTATAATAACATAATTTTTTAGTGTTATGTAAATGTAATGCTGCAATAGCTTTGCTGCTAAATCCATGGTATAAACGGATACCATACGTACTTTATTCAGGCTAAAATAATGAGATCAAGAGAAGATCCTGGTGTTGTAAAATGACGAGCTGTCACCGGGGGAGGAGGCGCCCCTGTGAAACGATGGTTACCTTTGTGGGGGGGTCGGGGTGGGTCGCCCCTAACTGCATGTTTATTTCAATCAGGTTGCTGCATGCAATAGACTTTTCAGTATCATGTCTACTATTCGATTCTGCCCATGTTTGCACAACACACTATAGGCGTACATTCAAACCGCAGGAATCTGGACAGAAAGTCAGGAAGTCGTGATTGGAGGAGTCATGACGACTCCGCGTCGCTAACAGGCAGTGAACACATCCAGATGACAGGGAGGCAAAAAAAACAACCTTAATAATCACAAATCAAACTAAATGTAGGATTACCATTTAAAACTGTCTATGATAGGTGAAGTAACTTTTTGCAGTGATTGTTGATATAATTGTGCAATTTTTTATACCGTATGTAGTTAGGTCTGAGTATGCCTAGAACTGTGATTCGCTTTAACTGTCGTCAATGTCCGACATAGAAGTCCTGTGAAACTTCATAACTAGTGTATGCACACGTATATATGTTCTCTTGTACACACACTTGCACCAGTATACATGGAAGCCTCTCGACACTCATAAACAAACACACACACACACACACACACACACACACACACACACACACACACACCCACATGGACGGCTGTCTTTCTTACGCACACAAACAGGCCTATGATTCCACAGTCTGATCTGAAGAGAAGACAATGTGAGCTTAAACTGAGAACTGAGATCTTTCTTTGATTTGTTCCGTCGTCAACACAAAAAACCACCCACGTTAATGTCTCGGAACGCAACCAAAGAGCTCACGTATTTTAACGGACGCCTAACACGCAGAGCCAACTGCAGCTCGTAATGGCTGAAGAGGCAGTCGATTAGATGAGGAAAGAGGGCAGTTGGAAGAAGAATTGGGGGGGGGGGGGGGGGGGGTGGTTAACAATCAAACATTAAGCTACTGGAGACTTGAGGCTGATAAACTGAGCTATGCACAGGCTCTCAACACATGGCTGGGGAGGGTACAGGGGAATAATAGAGTGCTGCAGGAATCCTAAAACACCCGGAAATTAGTCAGCATTTCGCCCTTTTGCCGGTTCCCTTTTCTCTAAGTCAATGGGTTGTTTTAATAGGTTTTGTTAGACGCCTGAAATAAGATATGTGGTTGACACAAGCTAAAGAGGCTTAAAAGTTAAGTTAAACAACATAAAATACGTCCGGATATACCCCACTCACTTTGAAGGTTTAACGCATCTTAAAAAAGGTGGTTGCTAACGGCGGTTAGCTCAACGGTGGTGACCTTGAAGTTGTGACTAACTTTTTACATCTATCTTCACAAATCACAAATGTGGTATTCATTTGTTTAATTCTCCCGATCCCGTTTGTTTGAGCTGATATATTCTACAGTTATCCAAAATCCTATTTGAAGATCCCTTTGATTTTTCCCAAGGGAACCAGGGCGATGCTAACTTCCGGGTTGGCTTACAGAAATACGTTATCCCTGCACCACTCTATTGTTAAAACGTGCCGATGTGCAACCATATTTATCCAGATTTTTTTTTTCCTGCAAAGCTTGAAGTAATGGACCTGCTTAAAAAAAGGTGGACATATATTTCTCTTAGTTTTAATTAAAAGGTTATGGTTCGCAGTTCAAACAAGATGGAGGGGTGGGCGTGGGCTGCCGAAGACAAGGCGGCTCCTTTCTAGGGTTAGGGTTAGGGGCTGAGGGGGGGCCAAGCTACACTGGTTTTAGCCGTTTTTGGACAATCCGAACGGGATCTTACATCATTGCAAGTAAATGTGTCGTCCCTTCTTTTTGTCCGTGAGTTGTGATTGTCCCGTGTCGGCGGCCCGTAGTCCCTTTCCTCTTTCTCGTTTCAGTCGCAAACTGTTTTGTTTTTTTTGCTTTAGGAAAGAGGTTTTTGTTGTCCAAGCAAACTTATTGAAACAAAGCAGAAGATACTTTTTTTACTGATATAAAAAAAGATTTAAAAAAGAAGAGGCTAACCACGAGTAATAATAAGTATCCCTATGAAAGTGAATTCTGGGTGTTTTTGTGATATTTCTTTCCCCACCCAGACAGGTTTTCTATGTTTGTTCCTTCTCTATGATAGATATTTGTTATGCACTACTCTTTGTATCGGAACAGTTTTCAACGGTCAGCAGTTCTTTTTGTTAAGAGACAAAAAAAAGATGATAAAGCGTGCTTTCTGACTGACAAGATCTTTTGCAATACCTCAATTTTGAAATATATTAGGAGAGAAACTGATATTTTCTAAGTAAGTTTATTCAGATGAAAAAATATATATTAATTTAATTCTTCAAGAGACAATGATTTAACAGATGGTTGATTTTTATTTTTATTTTATCATGCTTATTTGCTTTTATTTTAAGAATTTATTTTTTTGAAAAGACAACAACTGAAGGAGCTAGAGCTTTATAACTAATATAATAATGTAGTACGTGAGAGTGCAGTGAGCGTGAGTGTCCCACTGGTCGAATTGGTCGAAACATCAGAGATAAGCTCTTTAGGAAAGAAAATAAACTATCAGGTGCTCAGAGATAAAACTGAACATTTTTCCCACGTTTTTGTATATTTATAATCAATCATTTACTATGCTGACCAGAGTTGTGAAAGAGATCTTCTGTTCATTATTTTTTTAAGAGAAGTTTTTTATGTTTCCTAAAAGTATGTGCTCCCTTTTGTTTTGTAAAAAAGCAACGTGACGCTGATTAGGTAGCCTAACGTCGTTGGGAGAAAAATAAAAAGAGACTTGTGAGAGTCACACAGCTGGAGGTAGAGAGGCGAGAATGTTATTTTTAAACACAGACAGACACACGTGTTTTCACCTGTAACTTGATCGAAAGCCCCCGAGGTGCATCAATTGACTGGTGGCCTTCTATTCACGCAAGACTTGAATTAGTCCCATTTTTTAAGGCTAAGAACCTTGATTCTTTGTTGTAATGTGCAATACTGTTTGTACTGTTTGTAGAAAAGAAGAAAACAAGAAAAAGAGGCATAAATCTTTATTGCAGAATTATTTTCATTGCAAGCATTGTGATTCACTAAAATCATTTTCTACTGTGTATTTACCTACTCTACCTGCTAGTACCTTCCAGTAGTAATGTAGCCTTTGTACTGAGAAATTTTCATTATTTTTAGAAAGTTTTGCTAAAAAAGAAAAGAATTTAAACATATTTACATATTTTCCTTTTTATTTCGTATTGCTTTCTTTACAGACTTATTTCTCAACCATTATTTCTGGGGGAGACTTTCATATCTGGTCAATGTCATTAATATTATTTTGTATTTTTACTTGGAATAAATTAATTTTATGATGCTAATTCTTTAAAAGTTTATTTTTTTCGTTTGTTCACCTTTTTCATTTTTTTAAAGCTGAAAAAAAAAGTTTGTAATATTGTTACTAAAGTGTCTCGATTCTTGAAATGCTAAGCTTTATGTGTTAACTCACTGATGTTGCTTACATTAGTGTGAAACTGATCCATGGAGAAAAGAAAAAGAAACTCTTCACAAACAGCAGACTGGTGGTTGGTGATGTTTAAGTGATTTGCAATGTATACAAATGAATGGGCAATAAAATAAAAATGGCAGAATGGAGCATAGTATGTTGTGATGTAATTGTGGAAGATGGACAACAACACTGACAATTGACATTGCTTCTGCTATTCCCAAACTACTACTACTACTACTACTACTACAACAACTACTACTACAACTATTACAATTACTACTGCTGCTGCTGCAACTATTACCACTAACTACAATAACTCATCCTCACTTCGTGCAGTGGAGGGCAACATTTCCTCACATACGAAATATTCTCTTCTTAGTAGTTGGTTCAGTCCCTGCATTGTGCACTGGTGTGATTGTATTTAAGTATGAATGTAAATGTAGAGATTCACTGTGTAATATACAAATGTTTGGGAAAGGCATGTGTAACTGTAGAATCTTAATTATTCATAGGAGAGATTGGTCTTAAGTGTTTTTGTCTTACCCAACTTTTGATTATGGTGGTCTACTTTGTATTTAAAATTTCAAAATTCACTTTTGCTCTCCTTCAAAAATAATAGTTTGACCTTTTTGTGAGTTAATTTGTCTTCTTGCCAAGATAAAGAGTTGAAAACTGACACCCTACGATACATAAAGAGCAGCACATTGTTTAGCTTAGCCTAGCATTATCACTCTGCTAAATCCCCCCCAAAATAGAAAAACTGTAGCTCATAGTTAAGTGTAAACGTTTTACATGTTGTACTTATTGTTGTTTGAGCACAGATGACATGTTTTGACGTCTTAAAGCCTTGTCTTGAGCTTTTGAGGTATAGAAGGATGTATTATCTAAGTAGGCTAGCATAGCATAGGTACTGGAGGCCAATAATTTGCTTAACAGCACCTCTAAAGCTCTTCTTCTTTGGAAGCAGTGAAGTGCTTCAAAATAAACTAATGTATCATTTTAAATGAAAAAAAGCGTTGTTTCGTATGAATGTATCAATTAAGCTATAATTTGCGAATTTTTGTAAGCTTTTAACAAAGGCAGGATAGTTTCAACAATCTACATGCTAGGCTAAGCTAACGAACATCAGGCTAAAGCTTCATAAGACTTCAAACAAAGGTAAATCCCAAAATGTCAAACATGTTTTTTACTTTCTTTCCTGTCCTCAAAAAAGAGACTTCAGTGCTCATGTGAGAATGTTATTTCTGGCTGGCCTTTTCTACCAGTTTATACAGCTGAAGCTAAAACCAAGCACCCCCACTCCATGTTTTTCACTTCTCTCTCCCCCTGGGCTCTGTATTATTCACCACCACCAAGTATGTATCCATCTCTTTGTCCTGGCCTTTTATTTAAGTGTGTGTGCAAATGAAATAGGCCGTGAGTTGGGTGATTTTATATATTCCTCTCTATAGATATACGTATGTATTTCATGTAACTAGACTTGGGTAGCGTACTGTATATTCACTGCTTCATGGGCGTTCTCTGGGTAGGTAAACACTGTCGGTCTCGTCATGTTGTGATCTCAAAATAGATGAAGAAAAAAAATGTGCTTTCTTCCCCACAAACATCCCACTACTTTTAAAATGTGTTTTTTTATTAAGACATCTGTGCTTGGACACTGGTTCTATCTTGGCGAGGCTTTTGAGATTGTTGACTTGGTCTGAACTTTTTGCAGTATAACTGTGATTTGAAAACATGGAGCTTAATGCTGCTAATGCTACTACTGCTTCAGAGTTTGTATTTCCCACCTTAATTTTTCCTTTTTTCTGTACTAATAAGCAAATCTTATTAAACGTAGTTGTATGACGCTGTGAAACTTTGTGGTCTTTGGCATGGCACTTGTCTTCTCTGTCCTCAAACCGTAGAAAGAGCTAACAGTACTAACTTGCATTATGGCCATCCGAAACTCACCTTTATACTGAAATGACAGATCATTATGAATATAAAGAGTTCATTTTTCAGATTAAGACAAAGCAGCCAAAAATATCAGCTTCTGCCCAGTTGTTATAGAATAGTAGATGTTCAAATGTTGTGGTATAAAGAAACCACAAAGACTGTAAGGACAGGTAATGGTGTACACTGAAATATTTTTAGTGTAAAAATCCACCTGAATGTGGTTGAGTTCTCTTTTAAAATGATCTTTTTGATTCACAAATTCAGTAAGTAAACCAAAGTGGCTGATGGTTGATCAATTAACTTAATAGACAAATATTTAGATAATTCATAAATCATGCCAGGAGTGCTCTTTTCAGCTTCTCAAATATGAAAGTTTCCTGCTTTTCTATATTGTTGAATATGTTTGGGTTTTGTAGAGACATTTATTTTGATTGAAAATTCAAAAAAAAAAAATGTGAAAACAAATTCTATATTCTCCCTTGAACATTTAAAAAGGATAATCAAAGCAGACCAGTCAGTCACATGATTGGGGAAATAAAAACTCAGTTAAGGGACTGGACTCTCAACTCTTCAAAGAAATCAAGTAATGTTGTTTTTTAGTGGATTAAGTATCCAATAGTGATTACAAAGTTTGAAAACAGGTCAGAGGCAAGAAAGGCTAAAAACAAATCTTTAATAAAAAAAAACTGGGTTTTCATCCTTTTCTTAAATATTGTCCTTTGCAGTGTGTGGCTGTATAAAGAATTTTATAACCTTTAAATATGAATACTTGTGTCAAAATGTGACAATATTTATCTCATTATCATTCTCATTGGATGTACAACTGCGCCATCAAGTGGCCATCACCATTCACATGCAGTAAAAAAAAAAATAAGCCATGTAGTTCAAAAGGTCTGTAGAATTTATTACAATTCCACGATCATAAACAAAAAGCAGCAGTTACAGAAATATGTACAAGTTTCTTTTAAAATACTGGTGACAGGTTTCAGGAAGTTTCCAGTTTTATCCTGGCCCCGCCCTCAGTGTCTGTAATGCTGCTTCAAGTGCCGTGCTGTCCCAGGTCATTTTCATTTCCCTTCGACTGATGGATACAAACGTGTGTTTTGTATGACAGAGGCGTCGGAAGGGGATTCTGGGTATCGCAGTGCTTTTTAAGACCTTGTGATGGGGGTGTGGGAGGGAGGGGCTGCTGGGTAATAATGTCTGAAGCCAATAACACTGTTTACTCTGGCAATGTGACGTGGGAGAAGGGGGATGAATCACCTGGAGCAGCGACCTCACTGTACAGTGCTGCTGCTAACGGAGATGACTTCAACCAACAGTGTTCGTGCAGCCTGGATCATACCAATATATTCTCTAAAGACGGCTTGTGGAAAATCTGGGATGTCTGACCATGATTAGAAACATCAGAATTATTATTCTTTTTATTTTACATAAGCGCTTAAATACAAATTGAGTTCCTATTTTGGTTGAGTTTATTCATTGCTTTGGGGCATGTGTAACCATTAGCTATCAGTGAATTTGGGTTGGGTGTTTTGGGGGGGGGGTCTCCTCGGCTCTGACCAGGTCCTGCTATGCCAGCAGACAGTGGGCGGGGCTACTGCAGGGAGGTCATGAAGCTGTCCAGGTTGTACTCGGTGTCGTACTGCTGCTGGTCCCACAGCTCACCCAGCCCGTCCAGCACCGACTTCATGGAGTCCTTCCCTGAGGAGGAGGCCGTCTGCTCCCCCCTCTCACCCTGAAACACAAGGCACAGAGCATCAGTCCTGAAACTATTCTTCGATAACGCATAAAGTTCGCAGTTAGGGCTCGAGTGGTGTATTTCTCATGGCCATTATTATAAAACAAAAACACTTTAAGCAGTTTTTGTAACCCATGAAGGAAAGGAGCAGGGAGAAGAACGTCTTATTTTACCTCAAAAATAAATGGTCTGTCAATTAAAGCTGCTAACAACCAATACTTAAGAGTAACATGAACCCAAAAACACAATCAAAAGTCAACATAACAATCCAACTACAGAGATACACATCTGATTTAAGATATGCTTAAAGTTACATTTCTTTCCTATGGCTCATCCTCTGAATATAAAACTAATGTTCTGGTAGTTTTCAGTTTTGCTCCATGCTCAACCAATGAAGTCTGTGATTCAATTAAATATTTAAGTTTTAACAGCCTCAATAAAGAGTTTGTTTGTGTGTTCTCGGGGATGTGCATTATGCAAAATTGTCACTGCTTTTTTCTGCAGTGTAAAAAAGAAGAAGAAGGTTTTATCTCACCTTGTCGAGGCTGAACAGGTTGAGCACCTGGTCGGTGCCCATGCTCTGCATGCAGGCGTTGTCCTGGGTGATGACGGTGCTGGCGATGCTCATCTTGAATTTCTGCAGACCCATGATCTTCTCCTCCAGTGTGCCCCGTGTGATCAGCCTGTACACGTTCACCACCCGTTTCTGCACCAAAACAAAAACACAAGGATGAAGGTTAACGGGGTGTGTTTACATGTGTAGGACAGCCCCCTCCCTGCCAATAGGATTTCACTTTGGACAGTCTGCATCACCGGTTTCAGACAAGACGACAAGTGTCACAAAACCCAAGGCTGCTCAGAGGACATATTTAACAATGCAATAAGGAAATTGATGAACAATCGCATTCCTTCATCAACTTCAAGATATTATTGATAAGTCATAAAGACGACACCTGAGGCCTGTACTACGAAGCCAGTTCAACAGACCCTGGATATGTTTGAGTTATCTGGCTTAACTAACCCAAAACAAACGCGATCTCGCTAAGCGGTCCTACGACGCTGGTTATCAACTCGGTAACTCAAGCCAGGGTTTCTCTGTCCGGCTGAGTGCGCGTTCACATGAAAGGGGTGGGGTTAGCAACATTTGACCAATCACAAACATGGACAAGCATACTGACAGCGCAGCGTCATACTTCCTGAATGAAAAGAAAACTATAATATTAGACAAATATGAAGACGTTAAACTTTAAACATCCATGACTTAAACACTTTATCCAGGATGAAAGCCACATAGTTGTACCTGCAAGGTGAACACAGAACAGCTGCATACAGTATGTGACACTGTGAGTGTTGCACGGCCAGATACGGCTCAAGAAGCTGACTCAGATAAGGAAATATATGATACATTATGATGTGATATGATATGAATGATAATGGGACACATCGACGTCTGCACTCACAGTGCCGCGGGCTGTACTTAATGTTACTTTGATCTGGTTACTTATGTTGTGGCAGATATTTAAGTAAGCTTTCTTAACGCTAATGTTATAATAGTCAGATTGCTCTGAAGAAGGGAGGGGATATTTTATTAATTTTCACGTTCACACAGTCAGTTGATTTTTGCCGGCCGTCTTTCCTGCAACGGCAGTTTTTCTGTATTTCCTTTATCCTGTAATATGACTTGATAGCTTTAAACTCCGCACACGGAGCTCTGATTGGTCAGCAGGCGGTGCTTTCACTGAGTTGATCTCTTATCCTGGAACCTAACCTGGGGCATATACTACGAATCTAGTTCAACATATCCTGGATATGTTTTGAGTTATCCGGTTGACTAAATAAAAAAAAAACCCTGCTCTCGCTAAACTGTCCGACGACGCTGGTTATCAACTCGATCGCTCAAGCCAGCCGTGTCCTATCTAGTTAGGTGCGCGTTCACATAAAATGGGTGGTTCTGGAGCATTCGACCAATCACAAACATGGACAAGCCGCGTACTGACAGCGCAGCGCGTCATACTTCCTGAATGAAAAGTCAACTAATATTAGACATATGAAGAAGTTAAACTTTAAACATCCATGACTTAAACACTTTATCCAGGATGAAAGCCACATAGCTGCACCTGCAAGGTGAATACAGCTGGTAAAAGAAAAAGTGTTTGAATGGGTACATCAACAGGTTTATGATATCACTGCCCCGTCCAAGACACGAGTGGATCTGACTTTAATTACATCTGACTCAAGTGTTTCGTCAACTTAATGTGTTGCTTAAAATAATACTTCTGCATACAGTATGTGACACTGTGAGTGTTGCACGGCCAGATACGGCTCAAGAAGCTGACTCAGATAAGGAAATATATGATACATTATGATGTGATATGATATGAATGATAATGGGATACATCACAGGACGTAATGTTACTTTGATCCGGTTACTTATGTTGTGGCAGATATTTAAGTAAGCTTTCTTAACGCCAATATTATAATAGTCAGATTGCTCTGAAGATGGGAGGGGATATTCTATTCATTTTCACGTTCACACAGTCGGTGATTTTGGCCGGCCGTCTTTCCTGCAACGGCAGTTTAAACTGTATTTCCTTTCTCCTGTCATATGAATTGATCGCTTTAAACTCCGCACACTGAGCTCTGATTGGTCAGCAGGCAGTGCTTTTATCCTGGAACCTATCCTGCTCCGGAGGCTAGCCGTTCAGAATAAGTTATCTAGCCCGCTAAGAAGTGAACCAGCGTCGTAGGACCGGAAATCCAGGAAGTTAGCTCGCTAAGCGAAGATCCTGCTTCATAGTATAGGCCCCTGGTTTGCCGTTCAGCATATGTTACCATGGAGATCTAGCCCGGTAAGAAGAGAACCAGCATCGTAGGACCGGAAACCCAGAGTTTACCCTGAAGTTAGTCTGCTAAGCAAAAATCCGGCTTCGTAGTACAGGCCTCTGGGCCCTGACAGTGTAAATGTGTGAGTATCCTGCTGTGTGTACCTGTCCTATCCTATGGGCACGGTCCATGGCCTGCAGGTCCCTCATGGGGTTCCAGTCATGCTCCACAAACACCACCGTGTCTGCCCCCGTCAGGTTCAGACCCAGACCCCCAACATGGGTGGTCAGCAGCAGCACGTCGATGGAGGGGTCATTGTTGAACCTGAGATCAGAGAGAGGAGGGTCAGAGTGAAGAAAGTGAAACGTGGTGGCAATTCACCTTCACAATTCAGTTTATGTAGCCCAGCCCTATCCCCAGTTGAATAAAAAAGTGTTAGCTATAGCTAAATTGGTAGCTCTTATAAATTTGATTTATGAATGAATACACTCTGGTTAGACTTGCAGTGTGGCCCTGTGTCTGCTGTTTTGGAAGTGAGAGTAACTATAAATACATTGTTGACGTGTGCTGGTTTTAAGCTGACAGCAAGCAGATGTTGCAGCTCCGTAGATCTCCGTAAACTCCCAAATATGTGTTATTTCTATAAACTAATTAGATATTGGCAAACTAAATTCTAAGTTTCTCCTCTTAAATGTGTAATGACCTAACAGCAGTTCATTCTAAAGCAGGTAAATAACGGGCACTGACCTGGAGACGATGGAGTGGCGCTGGCCAGCCGGCACGCTGCCGTCCAACCTCAGGTACGCGACGGAGGGCAGTTTGGCTTTCAGCAGGTCGTTCTCCACGATGTCCAGCATGCTCTTGAGCTGACAGAAGATAAGCACTCGATGCTGGGCCACCACCGCCTCAGTGCCCCCCTCCGATCCTCCACCCCCTCCGAGGCCACAGTCCAACAGCAGCTGGAGAACACAAAACACATCACACCCACCTTATTAGTTTATGGAAGCATCTGGAAGATTCTTGCCATCCTCCTAGATCAATCTTTTGTGTATATGTATAGAAAATAGTTAGAATAATTATATTTATCATCAATGGACATGGAATGTACCCTAAATTGTAGAATTATATATATATATATATATATATATATATATATATACTGACTGATTCTATCTCTTCACATCAACAAAACAGTACAAAGAAAGTGTTCTTTCTCAATAGAACAATCAGTGGTTCAAGTTAGTATATTCCTCAGTGTAACATATCCACTAGTTGCAAAGCTTAAACATTTTTATATATTTTTTTATTTTAAGGGAAAGGATGTTTTCACTACTCAGTTTGTCAACTATGTTACGGACAAACTTGATGTCATTACAATCATTTGATTAAGTCCTGCACTTCAAGTAAAATCAAATTTGAAAGGCTCTTGAGTCTATTCTACCATATATCCAAAGATTTTTTAAAGTTTAAAAAATAATTGTATTAAAGTTTTGTTTTTTCATGTGATATGTTCAGCACTGTCATTAAGTTTAGGGATATTTTGTATTATAAAACTACCATACAGGTCATTTTGATAGTTTTAAGAGATGTCATGTAAAACTCCAACCTGTGTAGATGTACATTATACTATAAAGGATATCAGAAGCACTATTTTAGATATTTTAAATTTGAAAAAATGAGGTGCAACATAGTTGACAATGAAAGTCAAACATTTGACACAAATAACATAGTTGACTGGACACATTATTAACCATCAGCACTATGTTCATTTCAAGGCAGAAGTGCAAAATTCCATTGATAATGATGTGTAATGACGTCTACATGTCATACAAATTGTCAACTAGGTTACCTGTCAACTAAGTTACTACAGTTATTACAGTACTGGGTAACTTAGTTGACAGGTAACCTAGTTGACAATTTCCCTATTTTGACCCATCATTTCAATGGTAGGCCTTGCCTGGATGACCACATGTCATTTTCTTGAACAGGTTAACATCACATTTGAACATATAATTGAATTAAAATCATTAAACAATTGTAAACCATAACAATGTACGTAACATTGTTGATGGTCAATTAATATATTCATTGACAATGTGCTATTATACATAAAATATTGTAAAAAATTAGAGGACAATCACCACAGTGTGTTCAAAATGTCTGCCAAAGAGGAACATGGCATCATGTGATGCTGGTGACATGGTATTGGGACAAACCATTTTTGAGTTAAAGAGGGGAGTTCTGTTAGTAACATAGTTGACAGAACTTTTGCGGACATTCATATATTAAGATATTTAAATTATTTAAAGGGGGAAATCAATTAAAAAGATGTTATTATTCTTTAGTATTTAGACTTTTGAAATAAATGAATAATTTTTTTAATTGACTTTAATGGTTTTTATTCATTATTTTGAAACCAAGACACCCTCAACTGAAAAACGGACATAGCAAAAACTGACAATTTAAGAACATCATGACACATTTCAAGCTAAATAAAGCATAGGATGCACATAATGTTTGTGTGATATTATAACATGCTTTCCAATAATAGGCAAAATATGATATTTTTGAAGAAAATAGTTAGAATAATTATATTTATCATCAATGGACATGGAATGTACCCTAAATTGTAGAATTATATATATATATATATATATATATATATATATATATATATATATATATATATATATATATATATATATATATACATTATCACTTAGAGTGTTTATTTTTGTATTATTATTTTATATTGATTTATTATTCATATTTTTGTAATCTGTACACACGACATCTATTGAACGCCCGAGGTATCTTAAAATGTTCCCCATTAACAGGAGGGGGGGCTTTCTTGGAGTTTTTCCTTGCACATTGCGACGGTTTAAGGACATAAGTAGTCGTATTCTGTAAAACACAAATGTGTAATTTTTGATATTGCGCTATAAAATAGAACAAGATCAACATTATTATGGATTATGGTTTATGCAAGACTTATTCCAAACTGACCCACACAAGCTGACAACAGGGTGTGGTGTGGATGTAAAAGACTTCCCAGCAAAGTACCTGTTTGAGAGCGGAGAGTTTGGGTGCGTGCTGCAGGTCCCGCAGGTTGGAGTTCTGACCAATCAGCTGCTCCGAGATGCGTTTGTATTCCGGATGCTGCGGGGTTAACACCAGACTCGGGTGGTTGCACAGCTTCCGCAGATACTGCAGCGCCTGAAACACATGTGGAAGGAAGGGAAAATATTACTGCATGGTCATAATAAGAAGCATTTTCAAGAGATAAGTAGACCGTAAGTATTCAACAATATTCACAATAAATGCTTTAAGTTTTAACCATTACTCATCTGCTTTTTAGGGTTAGAAAAATCGCTATACCTCAGAATGTGAACATGGAATTTCTTAACCAAAGTTTCAGAGCAGGTTAACGCTTGATGCCTGCATGAGATAACATCTTAAAGAAATGTGTACCTGGAAGACATGGCCAGTGGCCTTCAGTTTGGGCTTCTCCTCCTCCTCTTCTGTGGAGGTGCTGGAGATGCTGTCCTCCACACTGGCCTTGGCCCGAGACTTTGCAAAGTCTTCATACAGCTGAACCTGCAGGTAGTGAGAGAGCATACCTCCTTGTTACTCCAGTTAGAAGGAGCGAGGGGGCTCACTCAACTTTCATCATCGATTTCAGAAGTTTGTATTTTCAATAGTTGATGTAGAAAATAGCCAACAATACAAGTGTCACGTCGTCTTGTTTCTGTTCCCGAGTACAGTAAATTAGCTGATAGATGTTATATTTTGTCATGTTGTATCAGTATTACAGACTCCCGAACTTGCTGATCAAACATTTGAGGCTGATCAGTGTTGACTCTAGTCTCAAGAGAAGATCTTGAAAAAGGTATAATAAGAGCTTTAACAAGTATAACGTGACTATTATACGCCATTGGCAAGAAAAATGCAACACTGAGGCAGTAAGACGATGTATTTTCATAGTAAGAGTCAGAGTCAATGGTGACCAATGGTAATTGGGGGGCACGGTTACCTGGAGAGGACTTAAATTGCAGTAATAGTCCTGGATTATTTTAGGAGGCAGGTCCTGGAGGACGTCCTCCTTCATCCTCCTCAGAAGGAAGGGCAGCACCTGTCGATGTAGGGCCTCCATCGCCAGGACACCTGAGGGACAAACAGATATTCACCAGTTAAAGGTGGGGTAGGTAATTTTGGAGAAACCAGCTCGAGATCGCTAGAATTTGAAAATACACAGCCGGAAGAAATCTGCTACTTCCTTACAGAGCCCCTCCTCCAACACACACGAACGCGCACATGACCAATGAGGGCACGAGATAAGCTTGTGCACAGATGGAAGGCTGACAGGCAGGTAGGCCATCCAGTTATTTTAGCCGGGCCGGCTAAAATGATTGGTCGTGCTTTTTACAGTACTACGGCTTCCACAGATGACATTTTTGTATGGATTTTTTGTCAAAGCACTTAAGATATTCATTGCTATCGGGATGTTAAGAGCATTCCATGGGATATAACAAAAAGTGTATCTCGAGCCGGTTTCTCAAACTTACCTACCCCACCTTTAATGTTACTTCTTAAATAACTGGTGCAGGAATGATTCCTAAAACCCGGATAGTTTGTCGGCATTTTAGCACCGTTCCCTCGTCTTATAGTCAATGGTTATTTCACATGTTTTTGTTAGATGCCTGAAATAAGGTCTGTGGTTAACACAAGATGAAGAGACTTTCATGGTTTGTTCTACGTGACTAAATGAGACTTATCAAAGAGCATCTCAGCAAACATTAGCCCCCTATAGCTTAGCGTTAACACATGTGAAGTCATGTGACTGTTCTGGAGATAGCATTTACACTTTAATGATTATTAAAGTGTTGTTAATAAGTCAAGATTTTCTTGCTGAACAAAACATTCAACTATCATAAATGTGTGATTGCCACAGATTTTATTTTCTGCAATATTCCAAAATACAATGGAAATATCCTTTTGTGTTTTTGTTGACAGAACCCGTGTTATTTTCAACTACAAACATACACCATCTCTGCACCACTCTATATTCAGTTAGAAATGTCAAAACACGACAACTGCAATATTTACATACCTGCCTCCTGTTCCCGTGAGGAGCTTTTGGCGTCGCGACTGGCCAGGATTGGTTTACCGTAGCGAGCTGCAAACTGACGCTCTGTTCCGAGGAAGCCCGGCATGAGGAAGTCAAACAATGACCAGAGCTCCAGGACATTGTTCTGAAGGTAGAGAGAGATGAAAACATTCATGCTCTGACAAACACAACGGGAAAAGGGTACAATAACAGTCGGATTCTTGCGACCTCACCTGAATTGGCGTTCCTGACAGGATGACGCGGAAGTTGGCAGCCAACTGCTTGATGGCTTTGGAAAGTTTCGTCTTGCCGTTCTTGATGACGTGACCCTCATCGAGGATACAGTAATTGAATTTGATATTTCTAAAAAAAGAGTTCATGTTAATAACTGAGCGCTTGTCCAAAACACAAAGACCTTTGAGAATAAGAATAATAAATACTCACTTAAAAAAGTCGATGTCATTCCGTACAACATCATAAGAGGCTATTATAAGATTGTGTTTTTTCACTTGGTGCTGCAACCTGGAAAATGAATGTTTGAGTAAGTCAATGTGCGTTTTTCTACAAACAACTAGCGTATAATACATCAAAAATAAACAGTACAAAATGCTCATTTTAAAAAGGGTAAAATCTACAGGACATTCTCTGTATGCTGACAGGCGTAACGCACAGCAGAAAGTGTGACCAGGCTTTACCTCATCCGCTCTGTAGGAGGCCCGGTGTAGTGCAGTGGGTGGAGGTATTCTTTGGAGCAGAATTTGCCCACTTCGTCCACCCAGTGGCCCGTAAGCGTGGGAGGACACACCACCAGAGAGGGCATGGGGCTGCTGTCTGCTGCTTTAGTCTTGGCATATTCCTGTGCCCTGAATGAACATCAAACACAGGGAAGGCTGAGTACAGTCTACTTACAATGCACATCAAAGCAATTCAAACATAAAATACCGTTAGAGATAAAATGAGATCAAATGAATGCAGCAAAACAGCAAAGAAAATCGCTGGTGAAACTTTCAAACCAGACTGTCTATTGTTTAATAACACAGTATGTGGAAGCTTATTGTAGTCATAGATGTAAATATTATAAAAGACATTTTCATAATGTTTTACATAATTGTTTTTTGTGGGCCATCTTTAATGAGACATTTCATTTCACATTATCTCTTATATAGTACACAGTGGTACATATAGATGGCAAGATGTATCATGACTTCTACTATTATGTAGAAATGTGGATTATGTCTGCATTGCCAACACAATTAACATTAACTTAGAAGAAAGAAATCATTAACGACCTCATATTTGGTAGTTAAATCCTCAAGGCAATATAGTTGCAGTAGTAGTGTGTGGTGAGAACAGTATTTTTTTTGCGTAATAATCAGCAGCGAACCGCTTCAACACCTGTATTTCGGTTTATTCACGGCAATCATTTTGTTATTCTACAGTATTGTTGTTTTATAGTTATTTGTTAATGTATCTAACCCAATTTGTGTTCTTTGAAATTAAAAAGGATATTGCATTGTGTTTGTTACTTTCGTTGCAGTTGTATATGTGTTAAGTGTAATTTGGCTTGGCTTCCTATTTTGTATGGACATTTTTATTTATTTATTTTTATTTTGAAGGAGAGTTAGTGCTGTTCACAGGAAGTTGTTGTTGCTATGGAAACAACGTGACGGAGATTAAGGGAGAAAAGTCATATCTACATATAAAGACGGAGAAAGTAAACTATAAAGTTTATGGTTAAGTGTTAGCACCCCCGAAGAGGCACAAGCTCTTACGTTGATATTGGAGATTTCAATAAATTAAATTTATATAAAAATAAATAACGAAATTGAAACCCGAATAGTACCCCAACGAACGAATATTCGGATATTCTGGTACAGCCCTAGTGGATACCTGAGGTAGTTGTCTCCTGCCAGGATGCAGATGGACTGCAGCGTCTTGCCGAGGCCCATGTCGTCACACAGGATCCCGTGGAGCTTGTATTTGTTCAGGAAGGACAGCCAGTTCACTCCGTCCTGCAAGATGACAAGCACCCACACTGAGATCAGTCCACTAATATCAACATTAAGGAATCTTATTCAGTGTATTTGTCGGTTAAAAAAATATGCTACAATTCCTCTAGAACACCTACTAGTAAAAAGGGAAAAGGCTCTGGTTAGCCTTAAAGCTAGCAACATTAAGCTATACACTAAAGAAAAATATGTACATCTACTTATTTCAGTTTTCTTATTATAATATAAACACTTCATACAGACCATTAAGTTATTGAATTGCCATAAAACATGCCATATTATTATATAAAATATTTTATGAATTGACCTATATGGTGATGGGAGAAAGTGGCTATATTACATAGTCATGGGCTTGTCTCAGCAGAGCTGCCTTAACCAGTTAAGCCCCGAGCCTGTTTTTCAGGACTCAGGCTCGAAAATGACATTCCCAGAACAAGTGACCATATCTTCCCTTCTAAAAAGGGGTAAATTAATCATCTTTTTTCTCAAAGCAATGATAAACCTGTGAGTTGGATGTAGAAAAATCAGAATCAATATAGATTCTTTTTATTTTAAAGTAAATTCAGATTGAACATAGTAAAAGAAATGTAAATTATAGTGTCCGTCCAAAAATTCTTTTTTACTTAGTGAAAACTACCCTTGGATGATGGTAAGGTAGACTAAAAGCTTTAGGAATCCAAAGTACAACATAAGTACCCTGTATCAAGATTGATACAAAACAAGTGACATTTGACCTTTTTAGAGAGATTTAGCCAAAAACACTCCACCTCTGAGGTGATTTGGGTGGAAATGTTTTTTTTTTCATATCTCTGGTTGACACCTCTTTCTGACCGTTAGAGCCAATAGAATCGAAGGGGGAGTCCCCCACACACACTCATTGTGAAACAAAAAGGTGGGGGCTTTGCGCATGTAATTTTGCATTAGAGTGAAGCTACAGTCTAACTCTGACATCTAGAAACGTAAAAGCATGGATTATCCGTTTTATTGCTCATGGATTATCAGAAATCATTTCAAAGGGACACAGACACATTGGATTAACCTATGGATTAACTTCAGCAGCGTTTTTATCGTTTTAATGCCATTGAAGACCACTTTGGAGAGACTACAGAGCCAAGGTAAGAACGTTAGCATTTTTAGCTACCTAGCGTCACCTGTTTTGATGTCCGTTTTTGTTTATAACGTCGCAAATACGTATAATTCAGTGATAATGAGGTTACCCATCGATTCTGTGTCACCTCACGATGTGAATCGATGTCATGGATGTGGAGAAAAGATAAATAATAAGGTTTTGTGAGTGATTTTCGGTGCAGTAATCGGTTAGCATTTTTCGCTCGTTGCTAATTCAGAGGCTCAGTGTTAGCATTGTGGGTTTTCTTTTGAAATAAAAATAAAAATGATCAGTTAGATGAGTTTCTTCCCGTTACATGGATATAAAACATTCATAGTTTATTAAATGAACATGCCCATAGACACTGTTTCCTGCAAGATGTTGCGGCAGTGCCCCGGTACCGGGGTCTCTCGGGCTTAACAGGTTAAGCAAAATATGTCACATTATATAATGACTGTCACCGAGTCATCATTTTGAGAAAAAGGCCTTCAAAGTTTCCTCTTCTCTGGAATCCATCGATCTGATTGATTATTAGCAGAGCAAATGATCAAAGTAGTACGGAGGGAAGATATTTTGGTTTAGATTACTGGTCTGGGGGAAGCTCGCGAGTGTGTGTGTGTGTATACGTGTGTGTGTGTTTGTGTATGTTTGCGTTTGTGTGTATTGTGTTTGTTTCCCGGGGAAAACACTCACGAGAAACACCGGCTGTTGTTATGCCTGCTGTGACGTCAAGTTACTCCGTTCTCCGCTTGTAATTATGCCGTTACAAGCTTCATAGTTGTATTTATCATCTGAATTTGCCAAAACAAGTTTAATATTCTGAAAGCCAAGACTTTGTTTAATTGAAATCAGATGAAAACAAACTGTAACGGACCCTGCCGTGTTATCTATGCTTACTATACGCCTTACATTCATAATTTCAGCCGGAGGGAGGGGAGCTGCGCTGCGGAACAGCAGAGTGGCGAGTGAGAGCTGTCATCTTCCCTTTACAAGCTTCAAACATGTATTTATCGTGTGATTTTGGAAATAAAAGTTTCATATTCTGAAAGCCAAGACTTTGTTTATTTAAAATCGAACAAAACACCCGAACCCCGAAAAACTAGTTTTTTACGCAAATCCACGTTTATTTTCAAATTAGCCGTTGCGACTTCTGACTGATTTCGATAGAGCGGGTCACAAATGTATCTGGTCAAGTTAGCAATTTTTTTTTGCAGTGTCTATTTTTTTGCATTGCCAGCATACAGCATTTGAAGCGGACACACACCTGCTGGTACTTCCTGAGCTCAGCCTTTATGGGCACCGGGATCTTGTAGTTCTCCAATTTTCTGCCATCTAGTAGTTGCTCCAGGAAGTCGCGCTCTCTGGCCTTCTGGCGGATCAGGTCAGCAGACATGGCGGGGGGGTCGGGTATACCTGACTGGACAACAGGGAGAGGAAAAAAAAAAACTTAAAATGGAAAAACCAGGATAATGACAATATGTTTAAATGTATTAGAGATTGAAAGTGATTTCATTTTTTGCAGAGTGCTTTCCAGTTGAGTGCTCCTACCTCCAGGGGCAGCAGGCGGATGAGTGTAGCAAAGCACTGTGTGGCCATGAAGCGAATGCTGTCACTGGGATCACTCATACGACCCAGCACGGGCACTACGAGAAGCACAATGTACGGAACAATGTCCACATCCAGCTGCTCCATCACACCTGGGGAGACGCTAGTCAAGGACAGTACTGTAGAGAGATAATGCTACAAGGTCCATGCTAATCCGTGTACACTTCCACACACACTGTTCGAACTAAACATTTGTTATAAAATAGCATAAATCTGTTATGCTATACATGAATATTGTGCTAGCTGAATCAATAGTGAGTTTGTTGTGTGAAGGATACAGGCTAAAGCTTCGATGGCGCCCTCCTGTTTGGTGCAGTCTTCGATAGCAGCGAGCCAGGGGAGCACACACTCCAGGAACCCGTTCATGGTCTCCAGCATGGCTATCTTACTGAGCACGCCCACACAGCGCGCTGCCATGTGACGCACCGCTGTGTACGGGTGCTGCAGGCAGGTGAACAGATGGGGCAAGTGCTCCAGTAGCTAGAGGGGGGGGGGGGGGGAAGTCAATCATTTGTTTGCATTAAACACATTTTTAGGATGCATCATAACTTCAATCCCTTATTCCATCAATATCAACCAATTTAATCTTAATATTCTGAAATTACAATATGAATTCATGCCAAGGGAAAACGGCAGAAGATGTTGGTATAAAAGCCCAGCAGAGCAGCCTTACCAAAGGCCTGAGTTCAGCAGCCATGGCCCCCGCCATGACTTCCAGCACCTGTAGCGAGTTGACCAGTTCCTGAGCGGCAGCGTCCCCCCTCTCCAGCTGGACCTCCCTGTCTAAACACGGAAACAAAGATTCACATTTTTGAAAGCAAACATCCTAAACTACATAGTCCTGAAAGATAATAAGTTGTGAAATTAAGTGAATTAATTTGATATACATATATGATCCAACCTTGGAACCATGGCATTGTTCAAAAGCTCGGTTATCATCTATAAGATCCTACCATTATTTACTAGGGCAGCCTCATGCTGTACTGCAAAATACTTCAGTACACATGCGCACAAAGATTACTGGATCTTAAATCAAGTGAAAAGTAGGGTCATTTTTGTCATAGACTTCTTTGCAATCAGATTTTTGAGTAGCTTTCTGATGGCAGTGACAGAGATTGTAGGTTTATTGCGTTTATGCAAGGGCTTCACTTTGCCTGAGGTCGCCACTAAGCTCTAAATAATGACAACTAAACAATTCAACTAAATTTCGCATTTCATTTTTTTAAAGAAAGCTGTTGCTAATTATTTTTCAAAGACTCAAGACACTCAAGGGTTATATTGTGATGGGCACAAAAGCTACAGCATAAACGTTGGCAATGAAAATTCAAGTCTCAGTGAGAGCCAGCAGTGCAACACGCAATATATTTAAGACCTTAAAATAGAGCAACAAAAAATATCAATAATGCAAGTTATACAATGGTGCAAGTAAACCATGTACATGCAAGATAGAATAATATAATGTAACATTTTAAAATGTACAGTAGAATAAACTCTGTATACTGTCATTATATACAATACAATGCCTATCTAAATAAAAACGTATCAACAAAATCAACAAACCTATGTGTTGTTTTTCAGTCACTGCTGTCCTCAGTGGTCCCACAGTGTTCTCCCATAGGTACGGCAGAGACTTGGTGAAGTTTGAGCCAAAGTGCCTGGCAACAGTTGTCAGGGAGAACTCCGCCCCTCGTCTCTGAATGAGTAACGGCTTCTTGCTCTAAAAAAGGGAACATACAGACACATACATTTAGGGAACAGGATGCGTTTACCCTTTTTTATATTTAAGGGGAAAGTGTTCTTCTGTACCTCATCGTTATCAGAGCTGATGGTGCTGCCAGGAGGAAGCTCCGTGGTGGGGGTCTTTGGGGCTTTAGGGGTCGGCCCCCTCTTACTGGTGATGGCAAACGCTGCCCTTTGGTGGCGGTAGAGGGTGATGATGCCTCGGGTTTTGTTGACCATGTGATGTGTGCAGTCCAACCCACTGCCTGAAGGCATGAAAATAAGGAGAGAGAAATGTTATCAGCAGCAAGCACTAGTTCAGTGTCGAGGCGATTATTGATCGCATTATTTTTATTTGACAAAAACAAAAAAAGCAAAGACAATATGTAGAGCAGTGGTTCTCAACCTGTGGTACGCCGTAACACCAGTTCCCGCTAGCGGTACGCGGAGGAATCTGACATAACAAATATTTTTTAAAAATAAATAATTTTCCTTTCTTTTATTTAACCTTTATTTAACCAGATGAAAATATTGAGACAAAATCTCATTTACAATGCTAACCTGGCCAAGAAGGCAGCAACATTACACGTTCTTACACATAACAGACATATAAAATACAGAAAACACAACTAAGTAAACAAAAAGATGAAAAGCAGTCACTACATTGTGCACATTTGGGACAGTAAGGTACACTACTTATTACTGCAAGAGCAGCTGGTGGTAAGGACCTCAGACAACTTCAATTTAAAACAGGCTATAGGGACAAGTGCCATCAGTTTGAGGCTCGATTGAATAACATTAATACAAAAATAAATCATACTATCAAAATACTATAACTAATGAAAATAAGCTTGAGATAATTGAAACTGTGGTTTAAATAAGTTCTAATAGGCTATTGTTGTTTTTAGATTTAGAAACGAAAACATTTTTTATTTATTTCTGGCGTTGCTAATGACGACCATACTACCCGCTAACGATTAGCGAATGTTGCAAGCAAGCTAAAGAAAGAAGAAAGCTGAATGATGTTAAAAACATGGCTCAAAACGGGAGGTATTCGGAAGAGAGGTACAGAGGAGAATATTACCAGAGTGTGCAACTCGATTTTGACAAGATAACAACTGGTGACTTCTAGAATTGTGTGAGTAACATTCTGTTTTTAGACTTCTCTGTTTCAGTATGTGTGCTCTGTATAAATGCTCTGTAGTTGATCTGATTGAAATTGTGATTTTAATCTCAAAACCGCTACAGTATTTTCAGGCAGAAATTTGGGACAATTATTTTGACAGAAACCTTAAAACTGAACTAACTGGCTGCTAGGGTTAACTTTGATTTAAACATTTGTAGAATACTAAGAGCTTTATTGAGTAGGGGTAACTGTATTAAGGGTTCAACTCATAACTTAGGGTTTAATGTAATTGTAAACTATTGTGCCACTAAAAAGTTTCATTAACAACTCAGGAGTGAGCCAGTTTCAATTTCCTATTGAGGCCCATCAGCTGCAGAGAGTTAACTAATTAAAGGGGCGTGGCCCCAAAGCTGTGACAACTCAGCAATCAGGTGTCCATTTTAGGTAGCACTTTCCTGGAGGTCAGCTTCAGACAGACGAAGACTGACAAAGACAATAGAGTCCTGTTGGAGTCTTAAGGCGCATTTCCACCATGGCGCGGAGCGCGGTTTAAGCGTGCCGTGTTGTGCCGTGCCCGTTTTTGGTTGCGCTTCCACTAGGCCTAGCTACGGCCCGGCCCGGGGCCACTTTTTCACCTCTTTTCTGGCCCGACAAAATTGTGGTTCTATCGGGGCCAACAAACAGGGCTGAGTCGGGCTGAGTATGCTAAACTAGAGAGAGCATCGCTGGCAAGGGGGCTACAACTACAACAACATGGACATATTTGACCGTGATTTAATTGTAATACACGTTTCAAAATGATGCCGAAGTAACAACATACTGATACCGGTTAGTAAAAACCATGAATTAATGCTTTGTCAAGTCTGCAGACAGACGGCAGGCGAAAAACCTTTTAAAATGCGTGTTTTCTAAATGGAGATTGGCTAAGCTAACGCAGTATATGCTCCGACCGTCCACACTCACAACAACGGCCTATACAGACATAAATAAAGCAGCGACTGTACTCGTCATGACACAGGCAGTCTGTGGTTTGCACTTGTTTAACTTTTGTCGAGTTTCTGAACATATATAAGGAGCTGTGAGCTCTGAGTGCTAACAGCTAACGGCTGTGTTGTTTTTCTGGGGTTCTCATTGAAGATGACGTCACGGCTCCGCCTACACTGCGTTACTATAGTAACTACCCCAGTTCCTAAACTGTAATGGAAGCGCAGCATGAAGTGAGCCGGCCCTGTTAAGGCCCAACGCGGCCAAGCAGTACCGAGCGTGGCCGAGGCCGACCGTGTGGTGGAAATGCGCCATTAGAGTTTAGACTCTTCTCCCGTTCCTGTCTAAAACACTTGAACACGCTGTCTTTAAACAACTCTCCGGTTATCTCCATCAGAACAACCTTCTGGATCCGCACCAGTCTGGTTTCAAGGCAGGTCACTCCACAGAAACTGCTCTCCTCGCTGTCTCTGAGGAACTGCACACTGCTAAAGCAGCCTCCCTCTCCTCTGTCATCCTCCTTTTGGACCCGTCTGCTGCATTCGACACGGTGAACCATCAGATCCTCCTTCGCACTCTCCAAGAACTTGGAGTTTCAGGCTCTGCACTTTCCCGCCTCACCACATACCTCGAAGACCGCACCTACAAGGTAACTCGGAGAGGGTCCGAGTCCGACCCTTGTCAATTAACTACAGGGGTCCCTCTAGGCCATGTCCTTGGTCCCCTCCTCTTCTCTCTCTGATCGGTCATTAACCCGCATGGTTTTTCATACCATTGCTACGCTGACGACACCCAATTAATTCTGTCTTTTCCCCGTTCTGAAACCCAGGTCGTTCCACGCATCTCTGCTTGTCTAGCTGACATATCTCAGTGGATGTCTGCTCACCACCTCAAGCACAACCTTGACAAGACTGAGCTGCTTTTTCTTCCGGGAAAAGATTGTCCCACTCTTAACCTAACAATCAACATCGGCACCTCTATTGTTTCCCCGACTCAGACTGCAAGGAATCTGGGTGTGACCCTAGATTACAACCTGTCCTTCACTGCAAACATCGCTGCTACAACCCGCTGCTGCAGATACACTCTTTACAACATCAGGAGGATACGTCCCCTCCTGACCCAGAAAGCGACGCAGGTTCTGGCCCAGGCTCTCGTCATCTCACGCCTAGACTACTGCAACTCCCTCCTGGCTCGTCTACCTGCATGTGCCATCCGACCTCTGCAGCTCATCCAGAATGCAGCGGCTCGTCTGGTCTTCAACCTTCCTAAATTCTCCCACACCACACCTCTCCTCCGCTCGCTTCACTGGCTTCCAGTAACTGCTAGAATCCACTTCAAGACACTGGTACTAGCGTACCATGCTGTGAATGGATCTGGCCCTTCCTACATCCAGGACATGGTTAAACCATACACCCCAGCATGTGCACTCCGCTCTGCATCGGCCAAACGGCTCGCTGCACCCGCACTGCGAGGGGGACCCAAGTTCCCATCAGCAAAAACACGTGGGTTTGCTATCCTGGCTCCAAAATGGTGGAATGAGCTCCCCATTGAAATCAGGACAGCAGACACATCTTCCGGCGCAGACTAAAAACTCATCTCTTTCGACTCCACTTCGAGCAATACATTTACTAACAAAGCATTTATATACTAACAAAGGACTGGCTTATCTAAAGCCAGTTGAGTAGCACTTGAAATGTTTTGGCTCTATGAAACCTGATGTACTTATATGATTCTGTTTTCTTCTAGTTTGTATCTTCTTGGTCGAATGCACTTATTGTAAGTCGCTTTGGATAAAAGTGTCAGCTAAATGTAATGAAAGTGAACAAGTGAATGAGGAGGACAGTCATCAACCGAGCACAAGCGCAGGCTCCGCCAGCAACGCAAAAGTGATATGCACAGGTCTCTCTTGAGAATGAGACCCTGTGTCTCAATGAGATTTTCACCTGTATAAATAAAGGCTAAATAAAAAAATAAAGCTTTTTTTTTTTTTTTTTTTTTTTATTGAACAAAAATTAAAATAAGAGGGGGCGGAGCTTATGCTGGCTCATGCGGGACCTGGCAGATACTGTCTAAAATGCTGCGGTGATGAAACGCAAGGATTCTGATAGTGCTGTGGGTCCGCCGACGATATTACGTCAAATCGGCCGCAAATCTGGATCAGCTCCGTTGTACCTCCGTTTTTAGAGATTTGGGTACGGAGGAAAAGAGAGAGGGTTTTATTTTATATACACATATTTATGTATAAAGACATAAAAAAGTGCATTTTGCATGATAGGTCCCCTTTTAATGTTCAAAAAGCTCTTTATTTTTCTCATACTGCCTGTGCTGCAGCACCTCTTTTCACCCTCTGTCTGAAACCAGAGCCCAGTCTGAGATGTAGTCAACCGCTTAGAGAAGTCTCAGAAAAGTCCAGCCCACATCACGTGCAATGTGTTGGGGCATTAGACAATAAAAGCGAGAGTGTTGTAACGGAAGAAATCAAAAATCCAATGAAGGTGGGATTTTAGCCTTTGCATGCACAAAAACCTATATTGCACACTACTAGGGATGGGTATTGTTAAGGTTTTAACGGTACTACTACTTTTATCGATCCGGTCCTTTAACGGTACTCTTATCGGTTCTTTTGAAAAAAAGTAAAATAATATAATATAAATAATGTGAACTTATAGAACTGTAAAAAACAAACAGAAAACAAGTATTTACTGCATAAACACAGTGGTAAACAGCAACACAGGTGGGGCATACAGGTATGCTGCAAAAGGCCTAACGGTTCTTCTGGAGGAAGATTAAGGCATACATAACATACCTCACGTGGAAACGTTACTCATGGATGGGGCTACAGAGCTACTAGAAAGACAGTCGAAAACGGTGCATTTCTCCGTCTGAATGTGGTGCACTTTTGATAAATGTTTAGACAAATTGCTCGTGTTACCGCCCTTACATGCTAAACTCTTATTGCACTTTTGGCTACGAGCATTATCCATCTAGACGGGTAACATTTAACCACAGCTTGGAGCGCTTATTTCTCACCGTCATCTCCGCCATGTGCGTGTGTTGCATGCATGTAGCAGCTGCGTGTGTGTAAATTGCCCCGCCCCCTCACACACAAACGGGAGAGAGAGAGATCTCTCGTCTGGATTGGAAAGATCGAAAATACATCATAGATGCATTTTGTAGTCTTATTGCATATTAGAAACGGAGTTGGCAAAACTAAAACTGCAATATAATGTTTATGTAGCAATAATATATATATATATATATATATATATATATATATATATATATATATATATACATACATACATACATACATACATACATACATACATACATACATACATACATACATACATACATACATACATACATACATACATACATACATACATATATATATATACATACATGACATTTTTTAAAGTGTCTCCAGTACCGATAAAAAGACCGATAACGTTGTAGCTTAACGGTACCACGATCTTTAATAATTCAGCCCCGGGGGCCGTTTAATACCGGAGCTCGGTACCCATCCCTACACACTACAGGAAAGGGAGAACCCCAACTAGCATAATAGGGCTACTTCGGTACAGCCTTGTTCCAATGTTATTTAAAACCATATTTTGAAATCCAGGTGGTTGAGGGCACATTATAGTAAAATCACCTAAGCTTTGACATTTCTTACCTTTGGCGTTTTCCTGGGTGGGGGGGACGGGGCAGGCAGACGAGGGTGTGACGGCGGAGTCCACGCAGGCCGAGGCACAGAGGTTCTTGATGATCTTGAGGTTGGGGCAAGGCGAGCGTCCGGCACACTGCTGCAGCAGCTTGGCTATAAAGGAAGCAGCGTATCCCTGGATCAGGGTGTTCTCCTCCCGCTTGATGGTCTCCATCAGAGGCCTGACCAGCGGGTTGAGTTTCTCTGGAAGCACCTGCAGGTTGATCACTGCGCAGGCTGTGAACATGTGGACACGCAGATGCAGCTGCTGCCACTCCAAGTTGGTCTCATTCATTGTTGACTGAGCCTGCTGACGTTTACCATCCAGAGCCTGATACTGACTGGACCTCACGTTCAGACACGCTGTCGACTCGGTAAAGATGGTGGTTACCTAGGAAACAGTTAAGACCATAATCTCATGTTTTGTACCAGAATATTAATGTACATTTTTGCAGTAAAGTGGGGCATTTAATATGGGGGGGCCCATGGAAGATAACTTTCCAGCCAGTCTCCAGTCAATGAACTTGAGCTTTTGGCACATTCTAATAGTCGCCACTGCTCAGCCAAAGTAATGGTGCTTGGGGAAAACATTAAAAACAATATCAACTCCGATTCAATTTATTCTACAAACGAACACTAAAAAACTGGCCCGTTTGAAGATTCTTCAGAAACCTGTGATGCATTTGAAGATTGAAGTTGCCCCCCACATAGAACATAACCTTTGTGGATTCACACCCGCTTAAAAATCATGTATAGTTTGTTTCAGGCCTGATATTCCTCTCATAATTAACAAAGATTTTATAAAATAATTGTTACTGAGCATCTTTACCATAATAATAAATTAAATAAAAAGTTTCTGACTTATCCAATCAAGTTGAGTTTTCGTATGTGGGTCCATGGTAAAGTATTAAACTGTTGTGAAATAGTGATATGCAATTGAATAATTTAATAACCAGTCACTATTTCACTACTATATGTTCATTTACTTTAATAATGATGGTACATATTTGATTCTTATTTACTTCTTTATTTAAAGGTCCCATGTCATGCTTTTCCGGTTATTACCCGTCCCCTTGTGTGTTATGAAGGTTTTTCTGCATGTAAACGGTGTGCAGTCACAAACCCTCAAAGGACACCCTGTAGCGAGTAAAACTCTAACACAGAAAAGACCTGTCTATGCTGCCCCAGAACGCCTCGTTGGAGATTTCTCTTTTTCTTCCAAATGGACCAATCCGCACACTCTCAATCTTTTCTCAGCTGCAGCTCCGACCGATTTCTCCTCCCTGAGACGGCGGGACGCGGCGAGGCTGCGAGTTGGTGTGTGAGCACACACACACACAACCTCCCAGCCAGGCTGCGGGTGGGGGTGGGTGTGTGTGTGTGTGTGTGTGCTGGTTTCGGGCTGGGTTTCGCCGTGTCTCGCAGACGGCCACTGGGCTCACAGGGAGGGGGGGGGGCAGGAGCTCCAACAAGCCGTTTAGGACAGAGAGTGAATACACATACTATACAGAGATGCTGGATGAGAAACCAATGTGAGTTTGGAAAATTGCACAATATAAATCTATTCTAGTAGACCTCAACAATGGAATTATGATCAGTAGAAATGGCCATGACATGGGACCTTTAATACTCTACTCACTCTAAATACTTGTCCCCACTGTGGGATAAATAAATGATTCAGATTTCCTAACATGTGTGGCTTCACTTACCAGTTCATTAGCTTGATCGATAGTGAACACGCTGCAGTTGAGGCGGTCCTGCAGGTCTATATTTGCGTCAGCCAGCAGAGCAATGAGCTGCTTGCATTCATTCTGCATGCGTGTGAAGGGGATGGCGATCTCATCGTAGTACAGATGCTCTGACAGAATGGCCAGAAGGCGAGGCTGCACTATGGGTGACACCACCTGACAGTCCTGGAAGAGAGACTTCCGTTAGGCTCATACTAAATCCCCAAAACCTTTAATCCACAATAAACAAACTAAGAGCTTTTCACCTTCTGCAGTGCAGCCCACTCACACAGCACCAGAGACACAGCTATGCGCTGCAGGGCAGACTTAGAGTTGAGGTGGAAGAGCAGCAGCTGGCCTAAAGACTCGGCTGGTCGGATCTCCTGAGACGCAGCGTTGACCTGAGGGTCACAGATACACCTACACAGAGCCCCCAGCAGCCTGGATTACAGAGACACAAAGAGAGCAGGCAAACTGTCAGAACCATATCAGGAAATTCCAGTTTAGTGAGAGAAAGTCAAAAGTTACATACAAGCACGGCAGCCTATAATAATTAGAGAACATATTCGAGGGGTTGTTTGCAATAACATATTCTTATTTATTTCTCCATTTTATGTTTTTTTGTGCACTCAGGAGAAATAAACAGGCATTTGTTTATTCATTCTAAGATTGTCAGAATGTTTCCCCCCTTCATCCTACAACCAATGGTGTTTCTCCCGTTTTTGTGTGTACGCATGGGTCAAAGTGTCCGTGGAGGACTGCACATTTTCTTGTCAAGTTTACTTTTTTATAAAATTGGAAACATTGCTTAGAAATTGGTGTTCTCCATCTTCTGAGCGTACGCCACGTTTCTAAATGAGGCCCCATGACATTTTCCCATCTTGTGATGCAAATATCAAAACCTACCTGGCAGCCATGAGGCGAGATCGAACCACCACGTAGTCCCTCGTCACCGAGTCCTCCGTCACCGTTTCCGCTCCAGCTATATACTCCTGCAGCGTCTCCTTCACCTGAATGGTACACTGACGTCCCTTTGCACCAGCCTTATCCTGTTGCATCAACACAGAATTGATTATTACACATATCAGCTTACACATGTTTTAGTATTATAATACTGCATGCACAATAAATACAGAAGTAGAACAAGAAACTATTTGTTTTTATTTAGCCATGATTAAAGTGTACAACCTTAGAGCGGGCCTTCACTTCCAGCAGCATGTTGACGTCTATGGGAATTTGTGAGGCCTGCATCATGAGACAGAGCCAGGCGCCCATCCAGGGACAGCTGGCTGCCACCACGAACTGATGCGGGGCCTGAGACAGCAGCTCCATCCACACCTGCACACAGACATCACACAAATTAAGGCTTCATCCATATAAAGCAGAAAAAGGTCTTCCGGAAACAAGAAAAAAAGTGAGACTTGCCCAAGTGTAGAGAAAAAATATCCCTTACGATGAGTATTTGATAGATTAATGCAATGTTTCCAATAATCAAACTTAGTGTGATGCAACAAACCTTTTGAATGAGCTCCAGGATTTCCTCATTGCTCTCCAGTATGCAGGACTGGAACATGTGCCGCAGCATATCTTGTAGGATAGGATTGATCCACATCGCACAGCTCTGAGGAACGTAAAACAAAACATGCTTTGTACCAAACATTGCCCTTTATGTATTTCTGATTGACAAGTACTTTGTCAAACTAATATCTAACTGCTCTCAAGTCATATTTACCTCGTCAGCTTTTGACAGCAGCGTGAAAAGGGTTTCCAGCGCCGCCCGTCTGACTGATGATATGGTGTGTCTCAAGAAGGGCCAAACCCGGGGGACGAGGATTGTTAGTGACTGCTGCATGCTGGGAGTGGACGAGAAAGTGTGTCAATATAAATACAAGATCAGCCTTTTAGAGTATAAAAAAACCAGCTAAATAAAAAAAGGTATGCATTGTTATAAAATGGAATAAAATAAATAATGCTGCCACAAGGGGTCTTAACAATAACAAAAGACTTAAATTTGGTGGCCTCGTCAGTGTTGGTTCATGGGAGTCCATCACTGCCCTTGCTGTCATCGCAGTCAGTTTATCACAGTTGGGATTCCTCTATTGTTTAGGAGGTTTTTAACCAAGAGCCAAACCATCTACTTAGGTCTCCTCTACTCCAAACCCAATGGAAGCAGTGACTAATGATGAACACTACATGAAGCAGTTTTAAAGTTAAGAACTGTTTTTCCAATGCTTTTCAGCTGCTGCCAAGTCGGTAGCCTTTTTTTTTGTGAGCGTCCGTGAGACTGACCTGCACTGGCGGACCCTCGGATAGGTGAGGAGCAAGGACAGCAACGTCATGATGCTGTTTGTGGACGAAGTGAGGTCATCCAAGTCCAAAAGAGCATCCCATAGTGTGTTCACAATGAAGGGTACCTGAGAGAGAGACACAATTAACTAGGACCTGCAAAATGAGGATGAATGCGTAAAATTGTACAGATGACAGACGAGCTGAAACGTGAGGAAGATTGTTATAAAAAAGCTGTACTATTGAGTGGTGCAGCGATCAAGTTTTTTGATACTTACACGTTTTGTTCAGCAAGAAAATCTCTACATATTTACATTTATGATTGTTTATGCAATCGCCAGAAGTAAAAAGCTACAGTTAGACTGTAAACAACATTTACAAGCAAGGTGCTTACTGACATATTTTGTCTCATAGAAACAAACGTGACAATCTATTAAGCTTTCGTAACTACAGACCTTATTTCAGGCATCTAACCGAAAGCTCTTTCAAAAACCTTTGACGTCAAGGGGAAGGAACTAGAAGTGGTAAAATGCTGACTCATTTCCGGGTTTCAGGACTCATTTCTGCAAAACTGTATTGCATCCCCACCTCATTAGGCAGCTGCTGCACCAAGCCTTCCACCACAGGGATGAGGGCGGAGGCTGCCACGGCCCTGACGTCATCATCCAGGTCCTGCAGGCCTTCAGTGATGGCAGCGAGCACCCGGGGCAGCAAAACGGAGATCAGGTCCTGAGAAAACAGGGTGAGAAGAAATGATCTTTACACTGACATTTCTCAACATATCTTCAATAAAATAAAATAAAAGGTTTCCATCCATTCATACAGTATATGCCTCATACCCCACATCTACATTGATGACCATATGGCACTCCTATCAAAAACATTGTAGAACCCTGCTGTGCCTATATATGATAAATACACACAGAACAGGTGGTACCTTTCGGACAGCCAGGGCGTACTTGATCCCGAGCAGGCCTCCATGACGGACCTCCCACTGGTCTTCTTTTAACAGCTTCAGCAGCACGTCCACTATCATGGAAACACCCGTTTCACTCATGTGCCGGAGGGCCACACCGAGGGCCTGGGCACACGTCTCCCTGACAGGAGCCACCACCTGGAGGGAGACATAGAGGTTGTGTTTTTTTTAACTGCATTGAGCTTGTTAATATATCTGGATGGTGGGGGTATAGTACGATGCCTGTTTGATAACATATTTGTTACATTGATATGCATACGTAAAAGTGTCATTATGTTTAGGTTCAATAGAGTTTTATCTCAATACAATATTTTCACAGTATAACATTACATTTTACAACATTAACAAAATAACCCTGATGATCATATATATCTGATGATATGGGCTATCCGGCAGCTTCACAACACGTATTATCTCACTCTGGTACTTCACCCGTTTTTCCTCCAGGCTCTCTTTCCCTGTTTCTATCCAAATCAAATCTGTCACACACTCACCCAGAGTGGTCTACATTTGTGGAGAGCGCAAAACCCCAAACCAAATCTCATGCCAGCAACTTAATAAGATTACGTGACAATTCGTAATTAATGTTGAGGATATATTCAAGCACATGCCGATATAACAAGCCACAATACATCTAGTAAAAATCGATATTACCCACCTCATCAGATACAAAATCTCCAAAGCGGTCCAGAGCAAAGACACAGAGCAGCCGGATGACCAGGTCCTCTATCCACTCCTGATGCTGCCGCGACATCTGGATCAAAACAGCAGACAGTCAGTGCCATGTTTCATTGTCACGGTATTATTATTTTTTAAACTGAAGAGAAGAATAAGACATACCTGCTCTGCAGTGCTTCCCACCAGCTTCCCCCCACCAGCACCTTGGGACTTCAGGATTTCTCTAAGACCTGTACCAGCACCATGGCGGATCTGTAAACAAAACAATTTACATTCATTCTGCACTGGTCACAGAAAAAAGGTTCTTGTGAGCAACTTTTACAGTTTTGTTGGTAACCTCTTGTTAACATCTGAATCGTAGATTGGGCGTTCTAGTCAAGCCTCCTTCTCATGTTTTTATATGCACTATCAGCTCAAATTAATTTGAGGTGCTTTGTTTTTACCTCCCATGAAGGATTGAAGAGGTCGTTGCAGAGCTCCTCACAGAAGCTCTCCAGAGGCCACTCCTGTATCTTAAGACAAAGCAATAAGGCATCTGTGACATCATCAGGACTTCACATCAATGAGCTCATGTATTGCTTTTTATTTCCTTACCTCCTCTAAAAGACCCGAGTTATCTGGAACGTTGTCGATTTTGTCTTCTGTTGCCTGTTGGTCAATAACTACATTGGTGGTTTTCCGCCGTTTCTCATCGGGTTCGCCCTCAAAACTGTCGTTACTAAAGGGTTGGGAGATAAAAGTCAAACATGTTATCATTAGAATCAATCAAACTTTACATATAACATTATGCTGCTGCAAAAACAGTTACATGTTTCAACCCATTCTCATTTGATCCCATTCGATATTTCTGGAAAATGTTCCTAATTTGCAAATGAATTATTGAACAATGGCCAAAAAGTATTTGAAGTTACAGTGACCTCAACCGTTAAATTTGAATCCTTTCATCTGCTAGTGCAAAAAGATACATTTTGGACTGTTAACACATTAAATTAGAAGACATTACTTCAGATTTTGAGAACCATTTTCTGACATTTTTATAGAACCAATCGGGAGAATAATCCACAGATCAATTGCTAATGAAAATAAAGACAGCCCTAGCAGTTAACAGGTGTTGGTAATCTCACCTCTTTTCATTGGGATCCATGTCTCTAGATCTGTGTTTGGCCACCAGCTTGGCCATCCTCTTAGCCTTATTCTTCTGACGATTGCTCATGCCTGGCCTGAACTCCGAGTCAATCAAGTCAGCAGCCTGAATGAATTAGAAAGAAAAACACTAGAGTTGATTATTCATTTCAAGATTCAAACACATACATACATCTTAAGGTGCAAAACGATGAACATAAGACTACTGCAAGAATCATTTCATGTTTATTTACAGGCTCAAAAGCACCACAAATCTTTGAATTGCTGCATCACTTTAATAGATCTACCCTCCCACGCTCAAACAGCATCAGTTTGCAGAGGCTCATTCTCATTCCCAAATCATATTGATTATTTTTCACGGTGTAAGGATCGCTGCTGTATGAAGCACCATACTCCCAGTACAACTGCACCTACCACATCACAGACAATTAGATTAGAGTGGGAGGCAGGGGAAGGGAGGTACCATGAATAACAGTGATTTGAATCCATTAAATCACCAAAAGAAGATCAATGAATAGCTTTAATATGTGTCATTTGGTTTGGTTAAGAGATAAAGCACTTTTGGGGAAATATACCGTTTTTTTTCCACTTTCTCGGAGTCCGACATTAATAAATAAAAATGTATCTTATGTAGTCTAAAGTTAATTTCAAACAGGATTATACTCTAAATCGGCATCTATTCATCTAAGGATTCAAACAACATAGTTGCAATCTCATAAGAATCCAGAATTTCATAAACAATAAACCAAAGGGAGGTGAGAAGTTGTCCTAGTGTTGTCTAATTCATCTGTATGTGTATAAAAACAAAGTGACACCCATGGGAAACACTAAGTACAAATAATGTTCTTATATGTAGCAAATACAAAATATTCATTATTTAAAGGAAAACTGCAAATGTATATTCTTCAGAAAGATGATATGGAACAATTAGCCACCATGGAGTTAGTTATTCTTCAGGTAGCTCTCGTCTCGAAAAGGTTGGTGACCCCTGTATTATACCAATAGGCAGTATTTTATCCAGTGTATAGTACTTATTTTATTTGATCTAATTCTATATAACATGTATAAAGTTTACCCATTTCTTTTTTTACTTGCACCATTCTCTTTTTTTTTCTTCTCTATTTTATTTCTATTTTGTCTTATGCATGCATGTTGCATTGTTGGAGGAACCTGGGACTTTAGAATTTCAAAACAATGCTGTAGCTATTGTGCATGTGACAGTAAAGTCTTTAATGTTGAATGAGACCCACCACATGGTTGTGACAGCTGGATCCAGCTGTGGTTTTGCTTCCTTGCGCTCCGAGCTCACTGGGCTGGCAGCTGTCGTCGAGGTCCTCGTCGTTGAACAGCTCCTCTGTGTCCATGCCGATTGCCGCACCGATGTCCATACCCAACTTCTTCTGAAGGAGCTTTCTCTGGCGGGCCAGACGCTCCTTAGGGTCCATCTCAGCTGAGAAAAAGAAAACTGGATGTCAGAACAAGTACATGGTAGATGTGTGAGGAGTACTGATTATGTTACCAAAGGTTCATTTTGGGCAGTAGGGAAGCTGGGTGACAAACGCTATCAGCAAAAGGAAATTCAAGAACAGTATGGTACTTTTTTTTATGTTTGATTAATTTTAATATACACTACTTTAGAGATAAGACACCCACCATTAAAAATGATTTGAAATGTGCTTTAAATCTGTGTTTAATTCAGACTCATACACAGAAATCACATATACACACTCCAAACTGCCGTGAGGTATAAAAGATTTCATGGTACATAGATAACAATAAATAAAGCACAGGCATTAAAGGTGGGGTAGGTAATTCACTTCAGAAACACTTTTTGTAATATTCCATGGAATGCTCTTAACATCCCGATAGCAATGAATACATTAAATGCTTTGACAATAAATATATACAAATATTTCATCAGTGGAAGCCGTGGCGCTGTAAAAAGCAAGACCAATTATCTGCCTCGGCCCGCGGCAGATAACTGGATGGCCTACCTGCCTGTCAGCACAAACTTATCTCGTGCCCTCATTCGTTCGTGTGTGTTGGAGGAGGGGCTCTGTAAGGAAGTCTGTTTTTTTTTCGGTTGTGTACTTTCAAATTCTAGCTTACTCGAGCTGGTTTGTGTGAAGCTGTCCAGTGGCCTTTCTCTTGTATTAACGGTTCAAATGAGTCACACTTTTCCTTTCCACAGTGTGGAGGTTTTTCAAATAAATAAAAAAAACAAGCAATGATGAATTACTACAAACCATTTTTGTCATCCTGCAGCTCAAACTCCGCCCCGGCAGATCCCAGCAGAGACGCTCCGTGTTTGAGGAGGCGGGAGATGTCAAAGTGGTAGAAACTCAAGCGGTCACAAGAGGAGTCCTCCGGAGACAAGTCTTCACAAGACTCTACAAGCGAGATAGAAAAAGTGTAAAAAAACTGCATCTTTCTCAATTTTACATCTTAATGAATCTGAGGTTTAAAAAAAATACACTCAATGGATGGATCTGAAGGTGCATATTTGCACATATTTAAAGGACAGGTGTCATGCTTTTCCGGTTATTACCCGTCCCCTTGTGTGTTATGAAGGTTTTTATGCATGTAAACGGTGTGCAGAGTCAAAAGCCTCAAAGTACACCCTGTAGCGAGTAAAACTCTAACACAGAAAATACCTCCCCAAAACGCCTCGTTGGAGATACGTCACTGCCCATTTGAGTCTTCCGGGTACGGCATGATGCCAAGCCGTATCCGGAACGAAATGGACCAATCCGTAGAGCCGTTACGTTACGTCCGCGGAGCCGTTACGCCCCCGCTGATTGGTCCAAATTGACCAATCCACGGACTTCCTCACACACACACACATCTGTGTGCAGGGAGCAGGCAGCTCAGCTGATTTCTCCTCCCTGGCTGCAGGCTGATAACAGACAGTTGGGATCGCGGCGAAATTCTCTCTGCAGACCCATTCTCACAGCGTTTATCAACCTTTTTCTTACTCAATATCAAGCCACACTTATTGTTTTTACTTCGGCTGTGACTTTGTGTGTGCTCAGGATGAGTTTGGCTGTGTATCGCTAACAAGGAAACAACAACTCCACGGAGCTCAGCGCGATTCACAACGTCCCGACCAATCAGAGCACACTGTGCTCACAGGGAGGGTGGGGGCTGGAACTTTGGGAGCTACAACGAGCCGTTAAAGGCAGAGAGTGAAATTCAGTGAATACAAGTAGTTTACAGAGATGCTGTATGAGAAACCAAGGTGAGTTTGGACAATTGCACAGTATAAATCTATTTTATGATCAGTGGAAATGGCCATGACACCTCTCCTTTAAGACTGTTTTATGTAGTCTGTTTGGGACCCTTGATCAGATCAGTATTATTTTTATCAAAATGTAGCAGACAAAGAAATGCACCAAGGGGGTTTCCCTTGGTTAATATGTGTGAGCCTTGATTAAATCAGTGTTATATTCAGGGGTGCACATAACTGGTACGCATGCGCGGCAACAATCTGAAATGCGTACCGTCACTCATGTCACAAAGCGCATTTGCGTACCGACGTACTTGTGAAGCTTTTCCAGAAGGCGGTTAGATCACCGGACGACAGAGTCGGTCTCCGTGTGCACAGACAGGGCTGCCGTCGGTCTGTGCTAAAACAGTTGATCACAACGTTCACACGCTCCGCGGTCACGAAGCGCTGTACACCACTACCACCCGTCCCCCGTCCCCCCCCGGTTGACAATCGCCAGAAGTTGGAGTACCAAACACTGACTCCAGGTACTCATCAAAAACATATAAAATGTCAAACCAATTTCTTGTTTTTTTACTCAACCATACAGTTGAGTGAAAAAACAAGAAATTGGTTTGACATTTTATATGTTTTTTTGGTGTTGTAGATATGCAGGTCTCTACAACTGTTCTGCTTCCTGGCAGTCAGACCATGGCAGTAAGACTATATGTACTTGATTGTAAAGCTTTTGTTTTTCTTTAAATCATAGTTGTTCATTTATGTGACAATAACATCACAATGCAGTGAAAAAAATATAAATATTTCCCAGGTATTTTGATGCCATCTTTAAGGCAGCTATATAGCGTCTTTGATTCTAAACCCTACCTGGGCATGTAAGGACTGAACAGCACGACGTGCATTTTGTCAGTTATTCCTGTAACATCTTTTAACTACCAGGTTAAAAAATCAATAAATGGATCACATATATTGTAACTGAACCAAAGGTAAACAATAGTGCATGCAGTGTTTGGTTAAGCACACATACCTCAGATATACATTACTGAAATTCAACCAAAAGGATCACCTTCTTTGGGCCTCGGCGCCGGGTCCCACTCAGGAATATTCTTCACAATGGCCTCTACAGCTTGGCCTGCTGCTATTCGGGTGTCCCAATTCGGACTCCTTAGGTAGATCAAGACCTGAAAGTTGACAGATAATACATTTAATTTATTTAATGTTTAAAGAGGCCCTATAATGTTTTTACGGAGTTCCCTTCCCTGTAGTGTGTTATATAGGTTTCTGTGCATGTAAATGGTCTGCAAAGGCTTAAATCTCTGTTAACTCCAAAGGGAGTTTCTCTGAGAGAAGACAAGAGGTATGTATTAGAAAAATGAAGAGCTTTTAGAACATTAAAGCATGGAAAAATGTCACAGTAGAGGCACTACATACTAATATGAACCTGAAAATGAGCCTAGTATGTCCTCTTCAACTAAAAATGTGTTTATAATTAGAATCACAGATTAGGCTCATTGACCTACTAGCAATAATGACACTGTTATACATGATCAGTATTTCCCATATTTCTCCTAAGGAAGAGGAAAATATAGCCAGGTTGAAAAACTTGAAATGATGTTATGAATGCTCATGAAAGACAGTTTGGAAACAGTTCTCAAACACACCTTTAGCAGAAGGCTATTGAGTTCCTGTGGATGGAGTTTGACCACTTCTCCAAGCTGCTGGGCGGCTGCTTTCCTGGTTACTGGTGTTGTTCCGGTGTCAAGCAGTATAAACAAACGATCAAGTCTAAAGACAGGTCACATTAAATAAATAGGGTCAACTGACACACACAGTGGAAATCACTTAAACAAAATGCTGGTTTCTTTATTTACCAGGACCATCTTTAGGTTGTTAACCTGATAAGCTGAACAAAATCAATTATCTACATTTGTGTGTACACCGATCTGACATTTTTTCATTCTGCTAAAAATAATAAAATGGAATTTAAAACATTTAAATCATATTTTCATCATGACCACATACTGACACTTATTAAGATAATAACATTTAAGATATACTTTTATTGATCCAAGTTTGGGAAATTATTTTTTCACAGCAGAATGTATTGCACATTAATTAAAAATAAACATATAAACAAAAGAGAACAGTGCATATGTACAGATCAACAGTGAAAGATGTATACCTAGAGTATCTCTATTCAATATAAAATAACAAATAGAATTGAAGTAAGTGTACTATTATTATTAAAACCATTATCTAGCAGTCATTGTTTAGCTTTTGACCAAGATAACCTGTGTAATGAACCTGATGTTTACTGAGATCATTATCAGTCTATTAATAAAGTGGATTAGAGTAGCACTAATACTTAAACTAAACCACAGGAGTCTGCTTCGCTATGCAAAGAGGACGACAGACACCACGTGGAATCACCATAAGAATAACAGCAGAAAAACACCTGCCAATCAAAACAAAGTTAAAATAAGTTTATCAAGCATGTTTAGAGAGATTAAAGATGTCCCTAATTTTAGCATGCTGCAAACACATGCATTTTGACACGCTTTTAGCGTTTAAAATGGGAACTAAACGTTTCCATGATCAGAATACCAACAACAATACAACTCTGCACAAGAAGCCAGTGGAAATTTGATTTTTTTGACCCAACCTCCCGATAATGCTCATGTTAGTTAATCCTTAACGTGTGTAAGTACAGGATGTGAATTCCCAAATTGTGAAATAATGCTACCGGCATTTTGGCACCTGCAGTAAACATTAATCCCAGTTAAGTGACCAGCCTGCAAACGTGTACCACGAATATTTACTACACTATAAACTACACTTTATCGTTACACTGTGTTAGCTTTGATGGCTAGTCGGCCGTCGCCATGCCATTCTTTGACACATTAAAAGCTAGCCTATATTAGCAGGGTAGCCAGCTAATTGGTGAGGAAAGTCGGATAGATAAAACTAGAGACCGCATAAGATATTCTTACCTTGATACAGCCATGGTCCGTTATGGTATGGCCTTTCACGCCCCACATTCAACAGGCAACCAGTAGTTTAAAACGTTTCCTTTTCTGCTGTTTAACGTTTCCAACGCGGCGGATAACAGTAACGTTGTTAGCTGGATGAAGTCATAAGCTAGTTAGCCGCTACGGCTAGCTAGCTGAGGCCCAGGCTGTGTGCTTCTGACCGCCCAACTCTGTCTGCCGAGCGGAGAGAGTTCACCACCGATTCATGGCTTCAAAGTTGTCCCTGCTGTATCTTCGCTATCTTCTCCCAGAAAATATCGACAAGTACCATACGCATATCAATCTATAGCTTAAGTTACCCTTCAGAACTCTTCGAGGATAAATATCTTAACCTAATAAGGTGTAAAGAGTTATTTTGTAGCACGCCGAGGGCGACCAAGAAGACTGTTTTTATATGAGGAGCCATCTTGCATTTATTCCTTCCTCCATAGCAGGCGGCGGCTGATTGGCTAGAAGCAATGGGGAGAGCCAATCAAATTGCACGTTAAAAGAGGAAACGAATGGAAAGAAATAAAGTGCAAAGGGATAGTTCACATTCAATTCATACTGAATAGATACAATTGCTGCATCCCACGTGGCTTCAGTTTATCTCCAAAACGTACAAATATAAAACTCCAATTTAAGTTATACAAATGTCTAAATGTCTAAATGTAAGATTCATTGTTGAAACCTATAGGTGGATCTAGTTTATCTTCAAAACAAATACAATTTACTAATTTGCGTGTGATCTTCAATGTAGGCTACACTGTACATTTGCTCCAACCAGTTATTTTTGTTTTTAACATTCATCAAACTCTAACTAAGCTTACATATTGTTACATTTGAAGAAATAAATGTTTGTGCATTTACAAATTAAATGTTCGTATTTGCTGACATTACTTTCAGTTACGGTTGCAACAGAACCGTGTGCTGATGATGGTCCTGAATAGCCATAAATACATAATTTGGATTGTTTGAAGTGGGGTTGTATGAGATACTTATCCATAGTAATGCCCCATTTTGGAAGACAAACAGGTGTACCAGAAGGAAGCGAAGCAAACCACTGCTGTGAATGGGGGAAGCTGCAAAACATATTCAAACAACATTAAAAAAGGCCATATTTAAAATGTTACCTTTCCGACAGATATCCCTTTCCAATGGGGAACTAAAGCCGGTTTCTATGCTGTGTTTTAAGCCTTGACAAAACCAATAATTTTACATTACAGAACATACTTTAGGAGTTGCCCTCTGCTCTACTACTGCCTACATTGGTTAGCTGTTTGTGGGTTTTTTGCAGTAAAGTGCTAGTTTTGATCGAATCCAGTCTCTTTTAGCTTTGTTTGTCAAACTCAGAAGACTTTGCCAAAGCCCTGAGCTAAGAAACCCAAAGAATGGTGCTTTGACAAAAAGAAACAAAAATAAAACAAGTGGTTTTCAGCAAAGGTTAGTCATGCTTAGTGTTTCAGATAGCTATTGTTAGGTGGTTTTAAGTAGGATTTCCCAGCAGGGCAAGTATGCAGACAATTCAATGGACAACGGTCGGTTGTTTATCTGGCATCTCAAATTCAAATGGTGGAATATGCAAATTAAATACATGTCATTGTACAAGCACTAACGTGACTCTTAGTTATCTCACACAATCAAGTCAGACACAGACACACGTCCTCTACTTTTGACAGGAATTACCAGTCTGACTGCAGATATGCAACATGCAATTGAGACAATAGAAAATGGCATTTAAATGTATTTGAAAAGACAAACTAAAGTAAAACAAATCTACATCCTCTGAAAACTAAGCATATGAACATTTAAATTGTACTGTTGTCCATGCGTATAGTTTAACCACATTATGATTGTGCTGATGATTGTCACAGATCTACTCATCTGTCATGTCAGAGTTGCATTTCAATTATTGTACGTGGCATTATGAAAGCATCACTGCAGAGAGCGACAGAATAGAATTTGATTAATACAATATTTTATCGCATAATAAGCATCCTGTCTTGTTTTTTGAAATGTTGGTTATGAAACATTGTTATGCAATGTCTAAAATAAGCACAGGGCAGTGCAGGTTGGATTGCTCTGTGTGTTCACATTCAGACATGAGTAAGTAAGTAAAGTCTGTTGTTACTCATAGGCTGCAAACAAGAAAATAGAACGGGAACAATGCACTGTTGAATTCAACATTAACTATAGCATTATTAAATAGCCTAAATAATAATAAATAAATAAATAAATAAACCAACAACATTAAATAATGAAATTAAAATGTGATCATTTAAAAAGGATTAGTAAGAAGGTGGTCGAATCATAACTGCTTTATAGTTAAAAATGTATAAGTAATGTAATACAAGACCCTAAAAAACAAGAGTGACATGGGGTGGACATCATTGTTCATATTCATATTTTGTGCCTCTACTGGGACATGTCTCCATGCTTTAATGTTCAAAAAGCTCTTTATTTTTCTCATACTGCCTGTGCTGCAGCACCTCTTTTCACCCTCTGTCTTAAACCAGAGTCCAGTCTGCTCTGATTGGTTAGCTGGCTGGCTCTGTTGTGATTGGTCAAGCGCTTAGAGATAAAGAAAATGGTCAGACATAAAGAGAAAAAAGACATACAGGTATGATCAAATGCTCAGCGTTAAGTAAAACGTGGTCATTAGATGATTTGTTAGAAGGTTGTTGTATCACAACTGCTTGTGACCTCTTGTTTGACAATTAAAAGTAACAACTATTTCTGGCATGTTTTTAACATAATGCTTGATAGACTGCAAAATGTAAACTTGAAGTATCAGACGAAATTAGCAAAGATTTTCAATTTCTTATTGCAACTGATGGCCTGCAGCAAAAGCTACATCACATTTATTTTTGGGCTAGCTATGATGCAATTGTATTTCCAAGCTGAACTGTGCGCCACCTATGATGTCAGTGTAAAGAGCTGCAGAATCTGGAAACAGACAGAAACACATGTTTAAAAATAGACAACACTTCAGAATGAAAATATGTGGAAATGAAACATGAGTTTTATTTTGACCAAATTGGATGTTTTTTTGCTGAATCATTCAACAGGATACAGACAGTGGGAAAAGACACAGACAGGTCTATCAATACAGGCACAAACATAAATGTTGCTATATTTCCTGACATATCAGGCCGTCATCTGCCTTCCGAATAGAATGAAGGCAAAACCTTTTTTTAAGTCTATCATATGAATGTATTCGAAGGGCTTATTCATCCTCCTTCAGAATGTAGACAATGTGATTTTTACGAGGCGCTTTGAGTGTAATGAGCTCATGAATCTGGAGGAGGAGTGCTTTATCCGCTTTAGAAAAAAAAATGTGAAGTTGAAAAGTGTTTTTCTGATTAATCCTTGAGCAGGGTTTAGACACTCTATGACGTAAGAATCGTGCAGTGTTTTTTTTATTAAAGCACTAAATTATACCATCATCATCACCAAGTGTTCTATATTAGATTAAAAAAAGGATAAATGATGTATAAATCTTCATATTTCATGTTGTAGGCAATACACTTATATTGAGGATAACCTTGATAAAAAAATATGAAATATTAATATAATTTTAACAATACCAATATGACAGAAAGTGCAACTAAAATCAGACTAACTGTTCTTTTTGTATCTGTTTCTCCGGTCACAGACTCCACTTCGCTACACTCCTATTTGAGTGTAATTCATTTGCCAAAAAAAGAGACAAAACTCACAAGTTAAAGAGAAATTTGACTGATAGCATTTTTATTTCTATAGATATCATTATATTTATTATCTTTGCCAAGATAATTGAGTAATGGATATTTGTCTACATCTTTGTCTCATTCAAAAGGGATGTTGAGATGAGTTTACTTTTCCTTCATTCTTGTTTAATGAGGATCTCCAATGCTGTTGTGAAAATACTGCCAAAATGATAATCACTGAGCCAATATGTATTTTGAAAGGCGTGTACCCGGACGAGCACACAGTGAAGTAATAAGCAGTTAGGATGACGCTTCCTTGTTGACACAATACATTTTAGTCCACCTACTAGTTTGGCTACTGATCTGATCTGTACAGACAGTGAACAGCAGTGGAGGAGGAGGAGGAGGAGGAGGAGGAGGAGATACCGAATGCTAAACAGCCAGAACACTGAGGTCATCACCAGCAGGTTCATCAAACTGCTTCCTCCTCCACAGGAAGCTCCGCAGTGTATAACCTCAGAGCGGAAAGGCTATTTCTGCCACTTAGTAACATGTAGATTTCTCTCAGACCCGACCACATTGTGTTATAGCAGGGACTGGCTTTAATAAGAACATACCAAGACCCCTTTCTTTCAAAGTATATCAACGATTCCAGATTTTCAGAGTACACAAAATGTTGTCTGTTTGTGAGTGTGGTTTCCTCATACTGCAGCACCTCTTTTCACCCTCTGTCTGAAACCAGAGCCCAGTCTGGTCTGATTGGTTAGCTGGTCACCTCTGTTGTGATTGGTCAAACCACTTAGAGATGTCCCGCCCCTTGCCTATTACGTATTATTTGTTGGAGTGCTAGCCTTTACAAGCGCAAGTGTTACATAGTGATGTCATAATGATTAAGGAGTAAACAAAGGTGTCAACTGGAGGCATTTCAGGCAGGGGGGAGAAACTGAGGGATTTTAGCCTTTGCAGAACATTTACATGCATACAAACCTATGGGCCATTCTACCAAATTGGACCAAAGTCAGGTTGGAAATATTTGGACATTTTGTATGTTTTTTTCCCAAAACTTTGTCCATATATATTTTGTACCATATCTAAATTACACATATCTAGTAAAAGAACCATACATTTTTATATCGTATTTTCAGACTGTATTGGAATGTTCTTCCTCTACCAAAAATGGTCACTACCGAAACATAGTACATACACTGTAGTAAAAAAGTATTATATTAACCTGTTAAGATTGTTTTACCTTCCTTTCTCTAAATAGTATTTTAACAAATATTTCTTGAGGGTTTTCACAATTAAATTAATAAAAGTGAATTTGTTATCAAATTTCAATTTATACAATTCATAAAAATCATAATGCAAACTTTCTTTGTAAAATGCATAATCCTGATCATATTGATTCCAGAGTTGATGATTGTTGAAATTGAACATACATTAAACCAATCAGTATCATATCATTTTAGTTGATAAATCAATACTTAATTTTTTACAAAACATCCAGTGTTTCGGTAGTGACTGCAGTATTTTGTTCTCAAGGTTGTTTCATATTCCCTCAACCTTATTGCTTAATCTTAACTCATAACATGCCTTATGTTGAAGTGTGAATGTTTGAAGCTACTGACCCAGAATCAGCACTTTAATAACAGGCTGAAATAGAGGGGGATGAGGCTAGAATGCATGATCTGTTTGGTATTTTGAGCAAAACACTTCATAGACATGTTTTTTATATATCTGAGA